ATTTCCCAGCTCAGCAGGAGACCCCAACTCATTCCTCAGAGAATCCTCAAGAGGCAGAACATTCCCCAGCTCAGCAGGAGACCCCAGCTCAGCCTACAGAGCATCCTGAGGAGGTAAAACCTGCAACTCAGCAGGAGCCCCCAGTTCCGCTTCCAGAGACTTTTGGAGAAGCTGAACCTTCTTCTTCAGCCCAGGAGGAGGCCTCAGCTCAGCCTGCAGAACTTCCTAATAAGGCAGAATCTTCAATCCAGCAGGAGACCCCAGCTCAGTCTCCAGGAGAGATACAACCTTCAGCAGCCCTACAAGAACAACCAGCTCAGCCTCCAGAGCTGCCTTCTGGGGAGGTGGAACCTGCTCCAACCCAGCAGGAGCACCTAGCTCAACCTCTAGGGCATCAATGGGTGACAGTTTCGCCTCTAGGTCACCATCATGTTCAACATTTAAACCTGCCCAGTGTTAAACCTGCAGATGTGCAGGTTACCATAACACCAGAACCCACTCCAGAGGTGGAAACTCTGCCAGTTCAGCATGAGGCTGCAGCTCAGCCCTCTGTGCCCCTTGATGTGGAACCTTTTGCAACCCAGCATGAAGCCCCAACTCTGCCTCCACAGTCCCCTGAGGAAGCTGGACATTTGCCAGTTGAGCAGGAGACTCCAACTGATTCCCCAGAACCTACAATACAGGAGAAACCTCCAGCACAGCAGGAGACCCCAGTTCAGCATCTGGAGTATCCTGGAGAAGTTAAACCTCCCACAACCCAGCAGGAGGCCCCAGCTCAGCAATCACAGGCCCCTGAAGGAGGCGAACCATCTTCAACCCAGGAGGAGGTCCCAGCCCAACCTCCAGAGACCCAGGGAGAGAGAGAACCATCTCCATCCCAGGAGGAGGCTCCAGCTCAGTTTCCACAGACCCCTGAGAAGGGTGAATCTTCAGCCCAGGGGGAGAGCCAAGGTCAGCACCCACAGACCTCTGAGGAGGTTGCACCTTCTCCAACCCAGCAGGAGGCCGAAGCTCAGCGCCCTCAGGTCCCAGAGGAGAGTGAGCCTTCTTCAACCCAACAAGGGACCCCAAATCAGTATCCAGAGTCTCTTGAGGGGATTGAATCTTCTCTGGCCCAGTCAGAGGCCACAGTTCAGCATCCAAATCCCCTTGGGGAGGTTAAACCTTATGCAACATATCAGGAGGTCCCAAGTCAGCATCTACAGACTTCTGAGGAGGTTTACCCTTCTGCCACCCAACAGGAAGCTGCAGCTCAGCATCCAGAGCCTTCTGGTGAAGTTGAACCTTCCCCAACCCAACAGGAAGTCCCAGCTCACTCTCCAGAGCATCATGTGGTAACAGCTTCTCCTCTAGGTCAGAGTCAAGCTCAGGTTCTGCTGTTGCCCCATGTCACTGTTAAACCTGTGGATCTGGCACTTAATATAACTCCAGAGTCCACCAATGAGGTTGAAACTTCTTTACCCCAACAAGAGGCCCCAGCTCAGTCTGCAGTGTTCCCTGGGCAGTTGGAACCTTCTCCAATCCAGTCAGAGGCCCAAGATCAGCTTCCAGCCCCTCCTGAAAATGTTGAACCTTCTCAGATCCAACAGGGAGTCCCAACTCAGCCTGAAGATCTTCCTGAGGAAAATGAACTATCCCCAATTCAGCAGGAAGCTGCAGCTCAGCATCCAGAGCCTTCTGGTGAGGTTGAACCTTCTCCGGTCCATCAGGGAGGTCCAACCCAGCCTGAAGGTCTTCCTGAGGAAATTGGTGTTCCTCCAATCCAGCAGTGGAGCTCACCTCTGTCTCACATGCGTGTTGTGGGTGTAGAACCTTCTCCAGTCCAGCATGCTGTCCCAGCTCATCATCCAAACCCCAATGAGGGGATTGGGCCTTCTCCAGTTCAGCATGAGAACCTAGCTCCGCCTCCAGAGTCCTCTACGGATGTTGTATCTCAGCCTCCACTACATCATGAGGTGACATTCTCACCTTTAGGTCCCGGTAAAGCTCAGTATCCACTGTTGCCCAATATCACAGTTAAACCTACAGATCTGGATGTTTCCATAACTCCAGTGCCAACTAAGGCTGAACATTCTCTAGTGCAGCAGGAGTTCCCTGCTCAGGCTCCAGTTACCCCTGAGCAGGCTGAATTTTCTCCAACCCAGTCCAAGCCTCTTTTCCAGTCTCCGGAGATCCCCAAAGATAAATCTCCTCCAGGCCAACAAGAGGTCATAGCTCAGACTCCAGATCCTCCTAAGGAGGTGGAACCTGCTTCAAGCCAATGGGAGGTCCCAGCTGAGCCATCAGAGCCCCTTAAGGAGATTGAACCATCTGCAAATGAACATGCAGTCTCAGCTCATCCTCCAAAGCCCACCAAGGAAGTCAAACCTGCAAACCAACTGGAGGCCCCAGCTCAGTCTCCTGTCCCCCAGCAGGCCCAAGCTATACCCCCTGAGCCCCCTAATAAGGTAGAACCTTCTCCCACGCAGATGGAGGCCCCAGCTCAGCCTCCAGAACTCCCTGAGAAGGTAGAACCATCTCCAGCCCAGCAGGAAGTCTCAGCTCAGCCTTTGGAGCCCCCTAATGAGGCAGAATCTTCAACCCAGCAGGAGGCCCTAGCTCAGTCTCCAGTTCACCAACAGGCCCCAGCTATATCTCAGGCCCATAAGGAGGTAGAACCTTCTCCAACCCAGCAGGAGGCCTCAACTATATCTCCTGAGCCCCCTAAGGAGATAGAACCTTCTCCCACACAGCTGGAGCCCCCAGTTCAGCCTTCAGAGCCCCCTAATGAGGCAGAATCTTCTCCAACCCAGCATGGGGCCCCAGCTCAGTCCCCTGTCCCCCTACAGGCCCCAGCTACATCTCCTGAGCCCCCTAAGGAGGTAGAACCTTCTCCCACACAGCCGGAGGCCCCAGCTCAATCCCCTGTCCCCCCACAGGCCCCTGCTATATCTCCTGAGCCCCCTAAGGAGGTAGAACCATCTCCAGCCCAGCAGGAAGTCTCAGCTCAGCCTTCAGAGCCCCCTAATGAGGCAGAATCTTCTCCAACTCAGCAGGAGGCCCCAGCTCAGTCCCCTGTCACCCCACAGGCCCCAGCTATAACTCCTGAGCCCCCTAAGGAAGTGGAACCTTCTCCCACGCAGCTGGAGGCCCCAGCTCAGCCTCCAGAGCCCCCTGAGAAGGTAGAACTATCTCCAGTCCAGCAGGAAACCCCAGCTCAGCCTTCAGAGCCCCCTAATGAGGCAGAATCTTCTTCAACCCAGCAGGAGGCCCCAGCTCAGGCCCCTGTCCCCCTGCAAGCCCCAGCTATATCTCCTGAGCCCCCTAAGGAAGTGGAACCTTCTCCCACACGGCCAGAGACCCCAGCTCAGCCTCCAGAGCCCCCTGAGAAAGTAGAACCATCTCCAGTCCAGCAGGAAACCCCAGCTCAGCCTTCAGAGGCCCCTAATGAGGCAGAATCTTCTTCAACCCAGCAGGAGGCCCCAGCTCAGTCCCCTGTCCCCCAACCGGCCCCAGATATATCTCCTAAACCCCCTAAGGAGGTGGAACATTCTCCCACACAGCCAGAGGCTCTAGCTCAGCCTCCAGAGCCTCCTGAGAAGGTAGAACCATCTCCAGTCCAGCAGGAAGCCCCGGCTCAGCCTTTAGAACTCCCTGACAAAGTGGAACCTTTTCCAGTTTCTCAAGAGACCCATTCTCAGCTTCCACAGTCTCCTGAGAAGGTGGAATCCTCTCCAGTCCTGCAAGAAGCCCCATCTCTGCCTCTAGAGCCCCTTAAGGAGATAGAACCTTCTCCAACCCAGCAGGAGGCTCCAGCTCAGCCTCCAGAACCACCTAAGGAGGTTGTAGCACAACCTCCAGTCCATAAGGAAGTGATAGTTCCACCTCCAGGACAAGATCAAGCTCAGTATTCACATTTGCCCAGTGCCACTGTTAAACCTGTTGACCTGGAGCTTACTGTAACTCCAGAGCCTACTACGGAGGCTGGGCATCCTACAGCCCTGCAGCAGACTCTAACTCTTCCAGAGGACCCCGCGGTGACAATTCCACATCCAGAGCATGTTCAGGCTCAGCAACCAAATTTGACTGAAGTCACTGTTCAACCTTTAGACCTGGAGCTTACTGTAACTCCAGAACCCACTACAGAGGTTGAACCTCCAACCATGCAGGAGACACCAGATCAGACTTCAGAGCTGCCTAAGAAGGTTGTAGGTCAGCCTCCAGCATATCAGGAGGTGACAGTTCCAACTCAAAGCCAAGATCAAACTCAACATCTATTATTACCCAACATAACATTTCGACCTTTGGACCTGGAGCTTACCATAACTCCAGAACCCACTACAAAGGTTGAGCATTCTCCAACCACGAAGAAAACTACAGCTCCCCCAAAGGACCTCGAAGTGACATTCGCACACCTAGAGCAGATTCAGGCTCAGCATCCAACTTTGACTGAAGTCACAGTTCAACCTTTGGACCTGGGGCTTACCATAACTCCAGAATTCACTAAGGAGACTGAACTTTCTGTACCTACGCAGGAGATCCCAGTTCAGCCTCCAGAGAAACCTAAGGAGTTTGTCGTAGCTCAACCTCCAGTATATCAGGAGGAGACTGTTCCAACATCAGGTCAGGATCAAGCTCAGCATCCATCATCACCCAATGTAACAGTTCAACCTTTGGACCTGGAACTTACTGTAAGTCCAGAACCCACTACAGAGGTTCAACATTCTACAACCCTGAAAAAGACTACAGCTCCTCCAAAAGACCTTGAGGTGACATTTGCACATTCAGAGCAGGTTCAGTCTCACCGTCCAACCTTAAATATAGTCACAGTTAAACCTTTGGACCTGGAACTCACTGCAACTCCAGAATCTATTACGGAGGTTGAACATTCTTCAGCCATGCGTGAGACCGCAGATCAGCCTCCAGAGCCACCTAAAGAACTTGTTTCTCAACCTCCCATGTATCAAGAGGCAGTGGTTCCAACACCACGTCAGGATCAAGCTAAGAATCTGTGGTCATCAAATGTGACAGTTCAACCTTTGGACCTGGAGCTTACCATAACTCCAGAATCTACTACAGAGCTTAAACAGTCTACAACAGTGCAGCAGCAGCAGACTACAACTCCTCCAAAGGACCTTGAGGTGACATATCCACAGTCAGAGCAGGTTCAGGCTCAGCATCCAACCTTAAATAAAGTCACAGTTAAACCTTTGGACCTGGGTCTTACCGTAACTACAGAACGTACAACAGAGACTGAAACTTCTCCAACCACGCAAGAGACCCCAACTCAGCCTCCAGAGCTACCTAAGGAGGTTGTAGTTCAATATCCATTCCATCAGGAAGCAACAGCTCCAACTCCAAGTAAGGATCAAGGTCAGCATCCAGTTTCAGCCAGCGTCACATTTCATCATGAGGACTTGGGGCTTACCATTACTCCAGAACCTATTACAGAGGCTGAACATTCTACAACCATGAAGAAGACTACACCTTCTCCAAAGGACCTTGAGGTGACACCTGCACATCCAGAACAGGTTCAGAGTCAACATCCAAACCTGACTGAAGTCACAGTTCCACCAATGGACCTGGAAATTACTGTAACCGCAGGATCCAATATGGAGGTTGAACCTTCTCCAACCATGCAAGAGACCCCAACTCAGCCTCCAGAGCTACCTAAGGAGGTTGTAATACAATATCCATTCCATGAGGAGGTGACAACTCCAACTCCAAGTAAGGATCAAGGTCAGCATCTAGTGTCACCCAGGGTTACATTTCATCATGAGGACTTGGGGCCTACCATTACTCCAGAACCTATTACAGAGGCTGAACATTCTACAACCACAAAGAAGACTACAACTCCTCCTCCAAAGGACCATGAGGTGACACTTGCACATCCAGAACATGTTCAGAGTCAACACCCAAACCTGACTGAAACCACGGTTCTACCTATGGACCTGGAAATTACTGTAAGTCCACAACCAGAGTCATCTGAGACAGTTTTTCCCCCAACCACCCAGCATTCAGTGGTGCATTTTGTAAAATACACCCCAGAAAAGGCACGCACAGCTTTAACTCAGCCACCAGAAGAGAATGCTACCATGAACATCAACATATGTGAGCTCTGTACCTGCAAAGATGAGACGCTGTCATGTACTGGTTTCAGCCCAAAGCAGAGGCTCCGCAGAGTGCCTGTACCAGAGCCCAACACCTACAATGGCACCTTCACCATCTTGTAAGAATTGCCTTTTCTCATTTGTTCTCTGCCTTGTGCTTGATATGGCAGCCTTTTCTTCGAGGTCTTCCTGGGCCTTCCTCATCTTCCCTACCCATGCTGACTTTCTGTTTTTACCTTTTCTTTGTCAACTATCCCTTGTCTTCATTTTGCTGTTTGCTATCATTCCCCCTTCTCTGATCTTTTACTTGCAGTTGTCCTTATTCTTTCTTCTTATCCAGTTTTTTATCCCCATCATTTCATTCCTTAACCTCTACTCTCCCGTTTTGGCTCCATCCTCTTTATAGCAACATGCCCCTCTCCATCTCCTTAGTGGTGATACGACAAAGTGGTTAAGAGTAAGATTCTGGAACTAGACTGCCTGGGTTTGAGCCGAGGTCTGTCACTTCAGAGCTTTTGACTCAGTTTCCTTTCCTGTAAAGGAATTATTAGGATTCCTTAATTCCTTAATAATTAAAGGATTATTAGCGTTAACACCTTGTGGGATTATTTTGAGATTTAGATGAGTTAATATACATAAAACATTTGTATTGGTGCCTAGCATATATATGAGTGTTAGCTATTATTATTTGACTCCTCAGTTATGTTCAAAACTCATCTTTGTCCCCAGCCTTCTATATACAGAACCTATTTTGAGCCCAGCCCAGGACTCAGTACTGTGGGAGCCATACAAGTATGACATTGTCTTTAGAACATGAAATGATAGGTGGGAAGAAAGGAAATAGGCATAGAAAGGGAGGTAACCTATGATTAAGTACAGACCATAGGTGCTGTATTTCACCAGAATCTGTAATCAATGGAGTACGGAAGTGAGGGAAAGCTGCATGGATAAACTAAAACTTTAGCTGAGACTTAAAGAGTGGCTGTGATTTGTTAAATAGAGCAAAAATAGGAAGTATAGTCTAGGTAAAGTCATGGCTGCAAGAATGGTCAGGAATTAAAAATTAGGAAGCAGTGAAAGATAGATTATGAAAACCCTTGACTATCAGTTACAGGGGTTTTAAATTTACACTCTGAGATATAGAGAGCCATGAAAATGTTCTAGCAAGAGATACATAACATTAAAAGAAGAGGATTGTTTTTGTTTTTGATTCCCTATGGAGAACGATCTAGAGAGGAAATCTTGATCTAGGGAGACCAGATAGAATGCTCTAGCAAAAACTTGGAGTAAAGTGACAAGGAGCTGGATGAGAGTGGCTGTGATAGGAGTAGAAAGAAAATCCTGAGAGCACCACAAAGGAAAAAGCGAGAAGATTGAGTAACTGATGAGAATAGTGGGTAGGGTGTGTCCAGGAAAGAGAAAAATGAAATACGACTCTCGAAGTTTTGGTCCTGGATGAGAGACCGATGGCAGTAGAACAGGTGGAAACAGCAGTTGGGAAGGAGAGCCAGTTTGAGGGAGATAAGTTCAGCTTAAACATTTTTATCAGGGAACATAAAGCAACCAGAAGGCTTCTGGTAGGCTGGAAATGGCCACCAGGCAGATGGGCAGATGGGTACCATCAAAACATTTGCCTTATTTCTGACTTCCCTGAAAAAAATGTGTATATAAACTGAATAGCTAAGTTGTTGCTGAGGAAAGACGACAAAGCTAAAGGTAAAGATTCAAAGTCATACATAGAGTTAGTGGTTGAAACTGAGTCTCAGGCATTTCATAGCTTCTTTTTAACACATGCAATTCTTGGATACATTCTCACTGTTGTTTTTGTTTTGTTTTGTTTTGTTTTTGTTTTTGTTTTTAATGTGAAAATCCCACCCCAGCTTCCCCACCACCCGTAAGATAACTCCTGTTACCATTTTGGTGTGTGTCCTTCCTTCCTATTCCATTCCTTTGCAGTTTCCCCTAACAAGGTAATACTTTTTATTCCTTGCTCAGTGGTTTGTTGCCTTTCCCTATGCAGTATCTGTAAGAAACCTCTCCGTATTAGTTCCTCTAATTTCTAACTTCCCTTATCCTTCTAACAGCTGGAGAGGTTTCAACAGAGTACACTGAGCCAAAGCTTTGGTGTTACCTCACTTAGGATTTCTTTACCTCTGTTCGCTGATAATGATACACTTTTGCCATGTTTCTGTTGAATTATTATTTTCTCACTGATTTACAGAAGGAGCTATTTTAGACACATAAGTGATTTTGGAAAAAATACTTATATTCAAAGTCATTAACTGGCATTATCTGTCCAAGAAATTGGACACATAGGAAGTTCAGGTTCTAGGAAAATGCCTTGTTTGTGCCAGCGGCCTCACATCATCTCTATTAATTGTGTGAAGTGGGATGCTGATAGCTGTGGAAATTAGAAAGCTGGTGTTTTCTGCATGTGAATATTCCCCACAAGGTTGCCAGTGCTTCTTTTACTTATTCTGTTCATTCTTTTCCTACCTATTCAAGGATCTGAACTGTGTTTCTTCACAGAAATTTCCAAGGAAATTCTATTTCTTACATTGATGAAAATATATGGAAGGCATATCGATGGGCTGAGAAACTGTGAGTATATTCTCTCCAAATATAATACAAAAAACTTAACTGCATTCTAAGATCCTTCTTGGTCCAGAATTTTGAAGTCAGTAGCTCTGAGGAAAGGTATTTCCCCCTCCTTATCCCAAATCAACCTCTCTTGATTCCAATTCTATATTTATCTTAAAAATTAAATTTGGCAGGCTCTCTTTAAAATTAGAGCCAATCTAAACTTATTTTTCATTATACAAGGAATACATGATTACATTCTCAATAGATAAAAATGAAAGAATATATATAGTGAACATCTTCCTTGTGTTTTAATCTCCCACCGCCAAAATAGCCACTAGTCTGGATTTAGTGTATTTCCTTCCAGACATTTCCATGTATTCGTCTACATACATATTTATAGACGGCAAAACAGGTTTGTTGTGTGCCTTCTTTCTTTTTCTTTCCTTTCCTTTTCTTTTCTTTTCCTTCCTTCCTTCCTTCTCTCTCTCTCTCTCTCCTTTCCTTCAACCCTCCCTTCCTTCCTCCATTCACTCCTCCCTTCCTTCCTTTTACATAAACAGTAACATCCTATAACTCGATTCTTTTTCTTCATGGTAGGTCTTAGATTTCTTTTCTTCTAGGACGTAGGGGGTTACCCCATTCATGTGAATTCCTGCATAATATTCCATACTATGAATGTATTACAATTTAATAAGTTCCCCTACTGATGGATGTTTAGACTGTGTCCAGTTTTCTTGTCATTTGCATTGCTGCCATGAACTGCCTCATCCATGCATCTCTGTGTACATGGGTGGGGATTTCTGTAGAATACATATCTAGAAATGGAATCATTGGTATGAAGACAATGTAGATGTACAATTTTAATGGCCCTCAAAAAAATTGTGCCGACTTACACTCCAACCCATAGACCATGACAGGATTCTCATTCTCACACTCCTCCACTACTGGGTATTCTCCACTTCTTGGCTGATCTGATGAGTGAATAAAAGGGGTCTCAGCTGAATTTGAAGTTTTCTGATTATTTGTAAATTTACTATATCTCCTTGTTTACTGAACATTTGTATTTCATGTCTGAATTTTCTGTCCTTTTCCAACTTCTTGTTATCTTTTTTTAATTGATTTGTAGAAAAAGTCAATGTGGATACAAGTGATTTTAGAAAAAATATTACAAGCAAAACAATTAACTGGCATTTTTCATCACAGCTTGTGTGTCGTATCAGTAGTTCAACTTGAGTAGATAAGTTAAAAATGACTACTGAATTAGCAATAAAAGACATAGTAGTCATAGTAATCTAAAAATAGAGATTATGATTCCCCTAAAGTAAATCCCCCACCCTTAGTCTGCTATCTTATTAGTAAGAGAGAAGGGCTAGAACCAAGCAATTTTTTTTATTTTATGAATTTCTTAAATACTATGTATAGTTTATGTTTCCCCATGATAGTGTCTGGCTTGAAGATTTTATTTCCCAAACTTGTAAGAAAACTGAAAGTAATTGGCACCATAAACAAATAATGTTAGTTTTCTGTAGGGAGTGGAGGGGGAGGATGAGTAGGCTAAGGGACAGGAATAGCAGAAAAACTTTGTGCACTATATACCTTTGGAATTTTGAGCCATGTGAATGTGTGTGTATATATATATATATATATATATATATATATATATATATAATATTTTTTTTAAAAAAGTAGAAATTTAAAAATTAATTTTTAAAAAGCATGTGTTTGGGAATTAATTACTAGAACATGAATCTAGTAAGATTTGCAGATTTCTAATTCAGCTTGAGGGTTGTACCTTGTAAGGTGGAGTTTCCTAACTGTGGATCACTAATCTGTTAACACATTAAATAACAAGATATAGTGGTAGGTCTAATAACTATTATAACTTCAAGGTAGTGATGCGAATAAATGACATTTTGAGATATTTATGACAAATATGTGATATATCATTTTATCATCTATCCAAGTTTGGCCCTCCGAATTCAATCCATTTTCCTCACAGATCTGTACCCTAAAGGGGGATGATCCACAAATTGAAATCATGGGCACACCTTTGGGCATATTCAAGAAAGTACAGTTTTTTAGGGAAAAGGTTCATAGCTTTTATGAAATTCTCAAAAGGTTCTTGTTTCAAAAGATTGAGATTGAGTCACAAATTAAGGAGTGGGGTTGGAGAAAGACATTTATTATGCTATAAAGTTGTATTTATCCTCATAAGTGATAACAAATGGATAATTTATTTTAAATAAAGGTATAGTATGTTTGCAAATTGATACCTGTCACTTTCTGAGTTCATTCAACAAATATTTATAAGCATCTACTATGTGCCAAGAACTGTTTTACATGCCTGGGATAGAGGCTTAAGAACAAAATTGACCAAATATTCCAGTTCTTGAGGGGTTTACAAATATATAATATAAAAACAAATATGTAAATATAATAAATAGAGAAAATTTCAAGTGCTGATAAAAAATCATTAGCCATCCAGAAATCTCTGTTTTCTAATTTTATTATTCAACTGCCATTTCTGCTGCTCATAGACTGAGTTTTTTTATTAATGATAACCCTTTTCATTCATATAATCTTGAGTTGGTTCTTTTTTAATGGATGTGCTGTTTACATCTGTCTGAGGATATTAATTATGCCATTCTAAAATTCTCCTGGGCTTTCCCTGTTAACTTGGATTCGTTGGCTTTGAACTCTTTTGTTTGTTTTTATTTTCTGTCCTTAATGGATGGCTTTCTCACACCGTGTGGTCATTCCTGAGTGCAATTTATTTTGTAGTTGAGATTCTACCGCTTCTGTTTTCTGGCACTAGGGAAGAGGTGAAAACGAGCTGCGGGGGCTTGTTTTTCGGTGATGGATTCCCCTAAGAATTAAGGAAGAGGAGGTGGGAGGTCATTCTAGTGGTGAGTCAGAGAGGGCATTCCCTTCCTCCAGGGTTCTGGGACCCTGACCTCTTCCCGACACCAATTGCTCCTAGCTGGAAGAAGATACCCTTTGTCGCCTGGTCCAGGGAGGAAGGATGAGGGGTTGATATGCTGCTCCTGCTCCTCCCACCTGATCCCAACTAACCACCCCGTGGGTCACTTCAGGGCATTTCTAGTAAGGGAATGTTTGTGGAACTATTCCTGTGTCCTTGAGCTAAGGTTGTGGACTTTTAAATTTATGTTTTCTGTCATTCTTAGTGACTTTGGTGGAGGTTGGAAGGGTAGAAACTTGGCATGTTTCAATCTACCAACTTGAAATAGCACAACCTCTTAGGAAAACAATTTTGTACCCCTGTTAAATCCTAGAGAAACTTATGCACAAGTACAAGAATGTTCAAAGCAGCATTGTTTGTAATAACTAAAAACTAGAAAAATCTAGTATCCACCAACAGTAGAATGAATATATAAAGTGTGGTATAGTCATAAAATAGAATACTATTCATTTGAAATATAATGTAAGCCACATAAGTCGTCTCAGATTTTCTGGTAGCTGCTTAAAAATTAAAAGTAAAAAGAGATGACATAAATGTTAATATATTTTGTTTAGCTCATATAGCCAAAGTATTATCATTTCAACATGTAATCATTATATATGTTATTAATAAGATAGTCTACATTTAAACTGCCTTCACAGTATCCAAAGTATCATCATTCCTGCATGTAGTCAGTGTAAAAATTATTAATGAGGGAGTTGAAGTTCTTTTCCCCATACTAACTCTTTGAAATCTCAATTTGGTTGCTATTTTTTTTTATCAGAAATACTTGATCTGTATTTAGATGTCATAAAATTCACAGTTTAAAAAGTAACATCACAGACCCACATTGTTGCAAACATATTTAAACATTTTCTAATAACTGTTGAGTATCAGGGTTTTTTAATTTAAATTTTAAAATAATTGAAGTTAATTAAATTAAAAATTGAGCTCCTCAGTCACACTAGTCACTCCCAAGTATACAGTAGCCACATGTAGCAAGACATGAAATACTAGGCATTGAAATGAACCAGCCTCAGCTACGTGCAACAATATAATGAATTAACAACATAATATTGGGTGAGAGACGCAACATAGAAAATAATACATATAATATGATTCCATTTACATAGAGTTCAAGAAGAAGCAAAACTAAGTTATGTTGTTTACAGCTGCATATGATAGGTAAACCTACATTGAAAAAGCAAGGAAATTAGGGGTTCCAGGGTGGCTCAGTTGGCTAAGCATTCCAACCCTTGACTTGGGCTCAGGTCATGATCCTCAGGGTCATGGGACAGGGCTCCACACTCAGTGGGGAGTCTGATGGAGATTCTCTGTCTCCCTCTTCCTCTGCCCCTCCCTCTCTCTCTCTTTCAAATTAATAAATAAATCTTTAAAAATAAATAAATAAACACACCAAAAAGCCAGGAAATTCTTATTAGAGTCAGTGGTGACTTCTGGAGAATCCGAGAGTAGGTTGGGATTAGCAGGGGCACACTGGGGTCTCCTGGGATGCTGGTAGCACTTTCTTGATAAGAATGGTGTTATGTGGGTATTTGTTGATAATTATTAAACTGAACATTTTTAATGCACATTTTTGTAGTTCTGAAAAGCATTTTTTAGTTGGGGGGAAAAAAAATCGAATGGCTTTCCCTACCACACTGCTATAGCTGTGTATAGGGCTTCCGAACAGAATTTGGGAAAAGAGAAGAGGAAATGGCAGTTCTGCCAGTGTGTCGTTGGGACCCAGAGCTGGGTTCTAGCAGAGACTTTGTGATCCAGAGAGTAGGCATTAAATATGCATTTTGGTACAAAGAGTGGATAGAGGTGTGTGTGTGAGAGAGAGAGAGAAAGATAAAGACAGAGATGGAGAGAGATGGACACAAAGGAGTACATGAAAAGAAGGATTTGAATGGAAACAGAGCAGAGATCAGTACTCTTAAATTAAACAAGAATTAATATATTGAGGGGGCACCATTTCCCAGGTTTCCCTCCCATATGGAAGTTAGTCCTAGGTAGTAAATAGTTGTAGTTATTTTGCATTTTGATGCAGAAATAACCTTTTCATTTTTCAGAATTCTCAGTGAAAATTCTTTGACCGAATTACATAAGGACTCTTTTGAAGGCCTGCTATCCCTCCAGTATTTGTAAGTTAATCATTTATTATGACTTTTTAGTTAAGTTATTTAAAAATAAATATGGGTTCAAATTAGATAATCGTGACCATTTCTTCTAACAATAAAATTCTACAGTTCTGTAAGTCTGTAGGGCCCCAGCCCATCTCTAGCATTAAATATCTTCTATGCGTTTTCCATTTTCTAATTTTATAGACAAGATATAGATAGAAAAAGACCCTACAGTTATAGAGCAAAAGGGGTAATGAGGTCTGAGCAATTATGGATACCCATATGAACCTTCTTCTGTAAGTTTTCATAAACCATCTGCTTACATATTTATATTTAGTTTATGGCTCATGGATCAAATCCCACCCATGGTCTGTCTTTATACAGCCGCCTATGAGTTAAGAATGATTTTTACACTCTTAGAGGGCTATAAAAGAGAAAAGAAGAGAAAGAGAGGACTATGCAACAGAGACAGTATGTGGCCTGCAAACCCCAAAATATTTACTATCTGGCCTTTACAGAAAAGGTTTTAAAAGTTGGTTTAGCAAAATGAGAGGAATTAAAGTTAACCTCAAATTGTCACCTACAGGACAAGAAATGTTGAACACTTACATTAATTTGAATGTCATTAACCCAGAATTTTTTTATAATTTTAAATTAAATATTTATAGGCTAAATATTTAATTAAGCAGGTAAATTATGTAAGCAGTATTATCAAGTACATATTAGGTTACCAAGAGAACAGATTAAGGATTTCAGTGTAGGAATTCTTATACCAATATTAAAAATGTTTAAAATGATGGTTAAGAGGTGCCTGGTTGGTAGAGCAAGCAACTCTGGGTCTTGGGGTTGTAGGTTCAAAACCCATGCTGGGTTTAGAGATTACTTAAGAAAACTAAAATCTTAAAAATAAATAAATAAGGTGTGTCTGGGTGGCTCAGTCAGTTAAGCGTCTGCCTGAACTCAGGTCATGATCCCAGGATCCTGAGATCAAGTCCCCTTTTCAGCTCCTTGCTCAGCAGGGAGCCTGCTTCTCCCTCTGCCTGCCACTCCCTCAGCTTGTGCACTTGTTTACTCTCTCTCACACACACAAAATAAATAAATAAAATCTTTAAAAAAATAAAATTATGGTTAAGTGGTATAGTTAGAAATGTCCCTAAATAAACATATCAGAAATGCCCCTAACTTCACTAATTACAAAATAAAATCTCTCCAGCCTCATTCTAAAGGAGGAAATGCTTGCATAGTATTTCATAGTATAGAGATATGTTCTTTGCTATGAAGGTTCTACTTTTATTCTTAAAAAATTTTTTTTAATTTAATTTTTTTTCAGTGTTCCAAGATTCATTGTTTATGCACCACACCCAGTGCTCCATGCAATACGAGCCCTCCTTAATACCCACCACCAGGTTCAACCAACCCCCCCCACCGTCCAAAACCCTCAGTTTGTTTCTCAGAATCCACAGCTTCTCATGGTTCATCTCCCTCTCCGATTTCCCCCAACTCACTTCTCCTCTCCAACTCCCAATGTTCTCTGTGTTATTCCTTATACTCTACAAGTAGTGAAACCATATGATAATTGACCCTCTCTGCTTAACTTATTTCACTCAACATAATCTCCTCCAGTCCTGTCCATGTTGGTACAAAAGTTGGGTATTCATCCTTTCTGATGGAGCATAATACTCCATAGTGTATATGGACCACATCTTCCTTATCCATTCATCTGTTGAAGGGTATCTTGGCTCTTTCCACGGTTTGGCGACTGTGGCCATTGCTGTTATGAACATTGGGGTACAGATGGCCCTTCTTTTCACTACATCTGTGTCTTAAAAATAGAGTTACCCTGTGACCCTGCAATTACACTCTTTTTAAAAATTTTTTAAAAATACATTATTTATTTACTTGACAGAGAGTGAGAGCATGAGCAGGGGGAAGGAACAAGAGGAGAGGACTCCCTGCTGAGCAGGGAGCCTGATGCTAGATGAAATCCCAGGACCCTGGGATCATGACTTCAGCAGAAGGCAGACACTTAACTGACTGAGCCGCCGAGGTGCCTGGTTCAATTGTTATTCTTTGTCCATGGCATCCAGAGCTCTGTATGTCATTAATCTTTATTAATGATGCTCTTTAGCATATAGATTCTTCTTGTAAATGTAAAAGGTCTAAGGGTAGTGGGTAAAAAGAACTTGATATGGCACTAAGAATAGTCCTTTAAATGATCAAACCTTCCACGTCTTAGGAGACAACTGCCCTTGTGTTGGTCTTCTTGGATACCTCTGCCGTCTGGACTCCAAACCTTACAAACACAGTTTGGAGAAGGACAAATGAGAAGAACTGTCCAATGGATTAGGCCCTTTGTTACTTCTATGAAATACTTTGTAAACCAATTATTTTATGTTAGCTGAAGTATTCTCATTCATTTAAAAAACTGTCAATCAAAAGCTCATATGACAGGCACTGTGCCCGGTCTCATAGGCACACAGATGGTTAAGACAGGCTTCCTACCCTTGCAGGAACTCATGATCTCACAAGGAAAATAAACAGAAGTTCAAACCATAATGTGTGAAGCACTAAGTGGACACAGCGCTGGCGAGGAGCAGAAGAGGGAGCCATAAAGTCATAAAACTACATTTCTTTTTTTTTAAAGATTTTATTTATTTATATGACAGCTAGAGATCACAAGTAGGCAGAGAGAGAGGGGGAAGCAGGCTCCCCTGCTAAGCAGAGAGCCCCATGTGGGGCTCGATCCCAGGACCCTGCGATCATGACCCGAGCCGAAGCAGAGGCTTTAACCCACTGAGCCACCCAGGCACCCTGTAAAACTACATTTTCCCTCTGCTACTCGCTACAGTCATTTTCCCTCTGCTACTCACTACCCAGATATTCATTTATTTTATAAATACATAAATACATAAATACACGTGTCAGTTTTAAACATTGTAGGCAATGCAGATGAACACGAGTAGTCCACACTTTCAAGGAGTTTATGCTCAGAGGAAATGGGATGCAAAAATAACTATATTAAAAAGAAATTGGGGGGGCACCTGGGTGGCTCAGTGGGTTAAAGCCTCTGCCTTCGGCTCAGGTCATGGTCTCAGGGTCCTGGGATCGAGCCCCGCATCGGGTTCTCTCTGCTCAGCAGGGAGCCTGCTTCCCCATCTCTCTCTGCCTGCCTCTCTACTTGTGATCTCTCTCTGTCAAATAAAAAATAAAATCTTTAAAAAAAAAAGAAATTGGGGTGCCTGCCTGGCTGAGTCGGTAGAGCATGTGACTCTTGATCTTGGTATCGTGAGTTCAAGCCCCAGGTTGGGCATGGAGTGTACTTAAAACTTTTTTTAGAAAGAAGGAGAAGGAGAAATGGATACAGGCAATGGGAACACAGATAAGGGAAAAAAGACTTCATTTGGATCAGGGAAGCTATCAGAGCAATGCTGTTTGAACAGGACCCTGAAGAGCTATTGGGTGTCATCAGACAGACATCTTGGGAAGAATAAGCTTGCAAAGGAGAATGGAAGGAAGGCAAAATGCAGGGAAAATATCTTGGATACCTGTAGAGTAGGAGATTAGAGCCAGATCTTCTAGGATTTTGAAGGCCATGGATGACATGCCAAGTTACTGGGTAATCACAGCAGTGCTCCAGGACAGACTTTAGCCTGCAGCAGAGTCACCTGGACGACTTGTCAGAACACAGTTACTGACTCTGTCAGTCCCAAGTAGGGCTGAGAATTTGCATCTTGAGTAGTTTCTCAAGGGATGCTGGTATTTGAGAACCACTCCCGGAGAATTAATCTGGTCACTGTGTGCAGGGTGGATTAGAAAGGGAGAGACTGGAGATGGCAGTGCCTATCAGAAGACGAGGTGGAAAGTGAGGGACTAAGCTGGGATCAATGGAAATAAGAGAGTCAACTAGAATCAAGAATGGGTGTTTTCAAACAAAAATCCAGTACCCTGTAGTTTGTTGTTGTTGTCTCACCACCTGAGACAACAGTTACAACCAAAAATGAATTTCTGTTAACATTACAATGTAATTCTGAGTTAGTTCAAAGTGATGTACTGATTAGAGGAGTAACTTCCTTTCAAGTTAAATGAAAGGTTATCTTTTATTTCTTCTGTTATTGAATTGGGCTAGAAAAATAGAACTCAACCAAGAAGGTGTGCTAATGTGAGAATATCCCTTTTAATATTAGAAATTATAATTATAGGGGCACCTGGGTGGTACAGTCAGTTGAGCATATGACTCTTGGTTTCAGCTCAGGTCATGATCTCAGGGTCCCAAAATGGAGCCCCACATTGGGCTCTGTGCTCAGTGCAGAGTCTGCTTTGGGATTCTCTCTCCCTCTCCCTCTGCCCTTCCTCCTTGTGCACTCTCTTTCTCCCTCTCTAAAATAAATAAATCACAAGCAGGCAAAGTCGCAGACAGAGGCAGAGAGAAAAGCAGGCTCCCTGCTGGACAAGGAGCCTGATGTACTCGATCCCAGGACCCCGGGATCATGACCTGAGGCAAAGGCAGCAGCTTAACCGACTGAGCCACCCAGGCGTCCCTAAATAAATCTTTAAAAAAAAAGAAATTATGGGGCGCCTGGGTGGCTCAGTGTGTTAAAGCCTCTGCCTTCGGCTCAGGTCATGGTCCCAGGGTCCTGGGATCGAGCCCTGCATCGGTCTCTCTGCTCAGCAGGGAGCCTGCTTCCCCCACTCACTCTCTCTCTGCCTGCCTCTCTGCCTACTTCTGATCTGTCAAATAAATAAATAAATAAAATATTTTAAAAAAATAAATAAAAATAAAAAAAGAAATTATAATTATATGTGGAGATAAAAACTTCGAGCTCATAATCTAGAAGTTGATGAGGTCACAAAAGATCTTCTACTCAATTCTTCTGCTCTCAGTAAAGATTACTTCCAAGATCTATCAAGATCTATGTTGTAGATTTTATTTATGAAGATTATGAAAGTCAGACTCTTTTAAGAGAGGTGAGGACAGAGTTAGGGGCTCCAGAAGGTTTTCAAATAACAATTCCTGAGATTCAGAGTTTAGTCAAAAGCTACTTATTCAATACTATCATCCTACTAATTAGATATCCAATAGCTAATTGAGGCAATATTTTCCTTTTACTTTTCCTAGAGATTTATCCTGCAATAAAATACAATCTATTGAAAGACGTACATTTGAACCACTACCCTTTTTGCAGTTTATGTAAGTTACAAATAAAATTTCATTATATTTGGAATTTTTTTAAAAACTTAATTGTAAGCCTCTTTGTTATCATCACTCTGAAATACTATTGAGATTTTATTAGTAGAAAGCTACTAAAATTATGTAGCAAATCTTTTTTTTTGTCTGCAGCAAATATTAATGTGAGAATTATTATACTGATCAGACCGAATCATTCTAGAGCAGTGGTTCTCAACCAGGGTGATTTTGCACCCAGGTGACATTTGGCAGTGTCTGGAGACATTTTGGGTTGTCAGACTGTAGATGAGCTACTGGCATCTAGTGGGCAGAGGCCAGAGATGCTGTTAAATGCCCCACAGTGCATAGGGCTGCCTCTTCTAACAAAGATGATCCAGACACAGATGTCAGTAGCGCTGACACTGCGAAACATTTTTCTAGATAAAGATTACTTAACACAAGTATTTATTAAACATTTACTGATTTGTATCTAATGCACCACATGTATAAACATGAAAGTATAAATCATTCATGCAATTTTTTTTAAAAAGTAAGTATCTTCCATAGTGAGTTTGTGTGTGTGTGTGTGTGTTTACTGAGAGAGGATTGAGGTTATGTTTTATCATATATAAATTGGAAACACTAGCAAAGGTTAAATGTTCTGAAAGAATATCTTTTGTTTTCTTCTTTTGCTTGTGTCTTTTTTTTTAGAAATCTTGGTTGCAATTTGCTCACAGAACTGAGCTTTGGAACATTTCAAGCCTGGCATGGAATGCAGTTTTTACACAAGTTGTAAGTGAAATAGAAAATGAATACATGTTAAAAAAAGAAACACCCATGTGTAAAAACATACAGTTATTGGTTCGGTGGGTGTAATAAGTCCAGTATGAACTCTGAAAAGTATGTCTTAAAATCTACTCATTCTTTCAAATGAGGAAACTCAGGTACAAAGAGGCCAAGAGACTTGTCTGTCTCAAAAATGGCAGTCTCCGCTTTCCCTAGGACTCAGCTTTGGTGTGGGCAGTAAAAGACCCCAAGCAAATAACAAATAACAAAACAGCATTATCCTGGGAATCCATGACAACGATGCTTCTCCAACAGGTGCAGGGTCCTTGAAATGCTACTTTTGAATTTACCTTTGATTCCTGCTCATGTGCAAAGTTCCTAACTGCTTCAAGGCATGAAAAATAAAGTTTGAAAGAACAAAGTTTCGCACAGAGTTCTACAGGAAGCAAAAGTGTGGGTGCTTGCTTAGCCATCAGCTTCTTTTAAATGGTAAAGCAGAAAGAACTCCTGAAAATACTCCTGGGCACTTCTGTCCCCATTCGCCCAGAGCAGAAAATATATACCTCTGAAGTAAATTATCTGGGGGCAATAGGAACCTTTGCGGTATGGAAAAAGATGCCATTTATGTTAAGTTGTAGTGTGAAAAACGTTCATAAAGAAAATACGTTGCTGTAGCCTAATTCTACATGCTTTCCTTCCTGACTCCTCTTCAATAAGAGGTGTGTGATTCCCTTTCAGCTGGAAAATTCTGTGATTTCTCTGTGACATAAGCAAATCTTAGTGGGTATGTTCAATGGCCTGAGGGGGATTTTAGACAAAAGGGGAAGATCCTCCTCTGAGGAAAAGATGATCTTAACTTGTCTCATGGTTCAGAAACACACTTTGACATGGTTTATTTCAGATGAAGGTCTTGAGGCTGTGTGTGGAGCCGGAGGAACGGTTGCTGCAGGTGTCCATCTGTGGCGGCCTCCTCTCTCCTCTCATTAATGTGCTGATCCCTGACTTGGGGAAGGAGTCCCGAGGGTCAGTTTTTTGTTTTGCCAGCACACCAGAGAACAGGCTCATTGGGTTTTTCCACCAAGAAGAATCATGTCTTAAACTTGCCACCTTTATTAAGCATGCTATAACACCGGGAGTCTCTTACAAGAATCTGCATTTCATTGTAGTTAGCTAGGCAAACACCGGAAAAACTAGGATGAAATCAGTTGACAAAAATTAATAGATTCACCACAAAACATTCACGGAGCGCCATGTCCAGTATGTGTCAACACTGTACTAAGTACTGGGGGGGTACAAAGAAGAGTAAGACAAGGACCGTCCCCAAGAAACTTTCATATGGGAAGGAGGAAGATGGGTGTTGATGGGAAAGCACACGGGAGCCCTGACAGCACCTGTGCAGAGCGGGGCCTCAGGGTAGGGAGGTGACACAAAACAAACTGAGGGTTGCTGGGGGTAGGGGGGTGGGGAGAGGGTGGTGGGGTTATGGACATTGGGGAGGGTATGTGCTGTGGTGAGTGCTGCGAAGTGTGTAAACCTGGCGATTCACAGACCTGTACCCCTGGGGATAAAAATACATTATATGTTTATAAAAAATTTTTTTTTAATTTTTTTAAAAACGATAGGGAGTTGACAAAGTAGGGAACGGGTTGCGGAATAGAAAAGACTCATAACTGATAAGACAACAACTTGTTTGTGTTGAGTTTCTGTGTGTCTCTTAAATGACAGGAAAAGGTAATCAAAGAGCCAGAGCGAGCTGGGTTTGAAGATAAATTAATACACATGTCACGTGATTTGAATAGAGCTGTACTACTGAAACCAATTCACGGTTCCTTCCGAAAGATTATCACAATATATGAAGTGTGTATTGGGAGCGAGTTTCCTTCTTTGTTTGGGGCCAAATTTTTCTAATAGACAAAGCTAGTCAGCTTCAGGAAATGTTTGCCATCATGAGATATAAACTTTATTGCATCTCCTTCCAAAGGCAAGTTGCCAAGAGAAGATGCCACCCCTTGAATTACGTCATGTTATTACCTATCTGACATATTACCAGGGTTTTTATAAAAGTTGAAACAGTCATTAACTTAGTTTGTAAAACTTAGAGACCCTGGCTGAGGTGGATTGATCTCAATTTATCTCAGATTCTTGGCTCCTCACTTATATAGGCCCCTTCCAAGGGGTCCTAGCAATATTTTGTATTCATAATTTTGTATGTTTTTATTAGACAGAATTTCCCAAAGTAGGTAAGGTTCAGGCCCCACAAGATCTTTAATTTACCCCCGGGTTTCAGGTAATTATAACTCAATAAGTTTCTTGAATGGAGCCTCTAAGTTATTGATAAGTACCGAGTGAACTAGTTAGCAGTGTGGTAAAGTCTATTTTGAATCTGAAATCCACCTCAAAGACATGCCAAGAGCTTATTAATAAGGTGCCATTTGGGGGGATTTATTTCATTTTGTTTTAATAAGGTACCACTTTTTGAATGATAGTAATAATCCTATCTCTTTCAGATGAAATCAGGAATGAAATTTATTATGGAAAACCAGTGGTAGTTGATAATCCTAAATGTTAAGTACACTTTTTTTTTTTTCTGACTTTAAAGTGCTTCTCCTTCATTCACCTACACAGGTCCAGACTGATGGCTTATTTTTTAAAATTCTTTTAGTCACTTCATTGGTTCTAACAATACAAGCTCCATGATTTTAGAAACTGAAGGACTGTACAATGTAGAAGGGCTCTACCTAATCCACAAAGAGTACATGCACACTCTGGCTTGTCTGTGGTGCCTCAGTGTTGTGCCAAGAACATGAACACCGAGAGAGAAAGAGGGAAATCTCAGCCTTATCCCTACTGAATTATGTACCCCACTGTTGAGAATACCGCTGAGGTAGTTGTGGCCACACTGTGAAGGCAACTCGAGCTGCGGTCCCAGAGACAGCCTAATGCTCCCCCGTCATCCAGCATCGGTTTCCTTTAGGTGGCTGTGTGCACACACAAGTTTATACACCTCAGGGTATCGTCATCACTTTTTGCTATGTACTGGAAATCCTGGCAGCTTCTTCTCAGATTCAAAAAGGCATAAACATTAAGGATGAAAATAACAACTCTGGGTCTGTCCTTTGAGGGTACTTCAAGTGGCTGTTTCATTCTTTTCTATTTGTAATAGTTCGAAAAATTTGAGATAGTCTGACCCAGTAACTACTATACCTTCCTTCTCCCAGCCACATCTTATTCTTCCCATGTATATAGCAACATATCTTCTTTCTCTTGGGAGCATAGTAGTTCCTCTGCTATCCCCATAACATTTCTTTATTACCTACCTCTGGTAGGCACTCACCACGTTCCTGGCACTCTGCTAGGGGCTTTTACATATCGTACAAGCCAGACAGTTGTGCCCATCGATCTCAGTGCCTGGCACATAGAAAATGCTCAACACAGGCTCCCTCACACTGTATCTCATTTTCAGTTTTCCAACAGCTCTTGCAATGTAGATATTGTCATCCCCACTTTGGGAAAGAGGAAATTGGAACTCAGAGATGTTGAGCAACTTGCCTAGGCTCACCGTGAAGAGGTGGCAGGACCACTTAGGAGCTCTGCGAGTAACACAGCTCCACATTCCTTTGGACTAAGTGCTGAATGATGACTATTTGTCGTTTTGTGAGTTGTCTCTTGGAGTTGGTCTCTAGCTGGAATAGGACCCGTAGAGCAGAGAACTCCTTTTCCCTATGACCGTCCCATGCTTCTGGAGCTCCTGGCCATGCCACCTCTGGGCAGCCCCAGGCTTTCTGCTCACTGCCCAGGACAGATGTAACATCATTAGCACTAAGCACCGACTCTGTGCCCCGCCTTATGCGAGCTGCTTTGCACAGGCTCTTTTCATTTAATCCTCGGATTGCCTCATGAGGTAAATGATACTGAGACCGAGCTGTCATTCAAGTCACTTTACTAAGAAGTGACAGCCAGAATTCAAACCTAGTTCTGCCTGATTCCAAGGGCCCTTGGAATCAAGGGCTTGCTGCTTCTGCTCTTCCTCACTGCCGGGAACTCTTCTTCAGAGCTGTTCTCAGAACTTGGACTTGAATATAGGCCCACCATTTCAGATTCTTTAACCTTCACCCTCCCCCGCCTCTGAGAAAGGATTGATGTCATGAAGTTAGATGTCTTGTATTGAGGACCTTCACAAGGGGAGTTATGTCCTCGTGGCTCATGGACCTATGTAGATGAATAAAGGAAAGGGGTTACTCCATCCCCAAGTACTTCAAACATACTGGAACAGGGTCTAGGTCACTCTACTTAGTTCTTTGACTGCCTTCCTCCAAGGAGCCAGTTTTCCCTGCCTGCCTTGGGATTCTAGCACAGACAGTTTAGAGTTTGTCCTATTTTAAATTTATTTTCACTGCCTGCTTTGGACATTTTTTCAGCTAAAGCTGTTAGGATTTCAGTACATTCAGGACAGTGATGACATGCTTCAGTCCTCAATTCTTCTCTGTCTCCTCAGTTAATAGAAACGATACGTAGCCCATCTGTCTGGACCTGTGTAGAAGAATTTGGAGAAAAAAAAATTACAGGTAAGAAATGTTCCCTTGTTTTGTGAGCTACCTTTCATCTGTCCCGTTGTTCTGCAGCAAAAGGCTTTTGCAACAATACTTGAGTTTTCCTCTTCAAATAAGATATATTTTTAGAAAATCATTTAGAACAATATTTCTTCAACTTTGATTATGAGACAGCCTTTGAAGCCTCATAACTGTTGCTATGTTTTACTCCCATAAGGATAAGCCCATAAGGATAAGGGTATATGGACTAGGAGTCAGCACACCTTTTATCTGTGAAATGAGGGAATTGAACTGGAAGGGAAATGATCTCTAGTGTGATGACCTTGGAGCATCTAAAACCACTCGTTTCCTGGTCTGTAGAAAAAAAGTTACTGCAGAGAACCCCACATGTAAACTGTTGAGTCGGTTCTCATTCTACCATTCCCCCAGGCACAGCTTTCATGAAGAAAAGACAGCACTAAGACAGGAAGAGAAAATAGGATAGTTTAGAGTGGCCCCATATTTTGGTTTCACTAGGTATAAACACAGGATGTAAATCTCGGTAGGACAAGGGTGGTCTGGTTAGGAGGAAACACTGAGATGATAGATACAAGGCCATCGGTGAGCACCCAAGAAAGACTGGAGGGTTAGAGAACTGAGATAACTTGGGGGGAAGGATAACAAACTCTTAAATTGTTTTGGTATATAACGCTTTATAGTCATGTTTTAAAAATGGTGGTGGGGAGGTTGGGCTGGGAAAGATGCACAGGAGCTCACTTGCTTGTCTTTTTATTGAGTTGTAAGAGTTCTCTATAAGTGAGCACACTGCCCACCAGTAAGCTTATAGATTTTAATGCCAATTTTTTTTTCAAAGCAAAGGACATTCAAAGCCTCAAAGTTGAGGAATTGTGTCTAACCAGACATGTGACCCTCCCAATTCTTCCTCTTCATAATGTGATCTTACTGAATATTAACTAGTGTTACAAATCCAACATTTTAAGGGTACCGAGAAAAGATCTAGAAGCATGGGCTAGAATAGGAAAAAATAGGGGAGTTTTGAAGGCAAGAACAAAAATGCATGGTTCTTCCTCCTCCCACGAAGAAAGCATGACTCCTAGCCTCACCATTAGCTCCCTCTGACCTCCATTGTAGAAGACTCTGAATCTTTGCTCCTCTTTTCTCCACCTACCAACATATTTGGTCTTTTGACAACTGGTTCTCTATTTATTATAAGATGGTTCTTTTTTTAAATTGAGATTTAATCCACATAATATGCAACATTATAAAATATACAGTCCAGTGGTATACTTTGATAGACAACAGTCAGCGCTAATTCCAAGACATTTTCATCACCTCCAAAAAGAAGTGTCAGGGCGCCTGGGTGGCTCAGTGGGGTAAGCCACTGCCTTCGGCTCAGGTCATGATCTCAGGGTGGTCCTGGGCTCGAGTCCCGCATCAGGCTCTCTGCTCAGCAGGGAGCCTGCTTCTCTCTCTCTCTCTCTCTCTCTGCCTGCCTCTCTGCCTACTTGTGATCTCTGTCGAATAAATAAATAAAATCTTAAAAAAAAAAAAAAGAAGAAGTGTCATACCCCTCAGCTGTGACTCCCCATTCTTCCCTACTCCCAGGCCGTGGCGACAACTAATTTAACTTCTGTCTCTACATATTTGCCTATTCTGGACATTTCATAGAAATGTGAGTCTAGCCTCTTTCACACAGCATGTTAGCTTCAAGGTTTGTCCATGTTGTAGCATCTCTCAGTACTTCCTTCCTTTTTAAGGCTGAAAAATATTCCCTTTTACAGATACATCACATTTTGTTCATTCCTCAGTTATTAGACATTCGGCTTGTTTCCGCTTTTTGACTATTATCAATAATGCTGCTATGAGTATTCACATACAAGTTTTTGTGTGGACATATGTTTTTTAATTCTCTTGGGTACACACCTATGGACTACAGGACACAAACTGAGGGTTTTAGAAGGGAGGGGAGTTAAAACAACAGCTCTCACTGTTCTTGTAGAAATTAATAAATTTTTATTTGACAAATGCTCTCTGAGTTGCTGCAAGTCCATTGGTAAAATTTTCCACTGTTCTAAAAAAAAATCGATTCTGACCATTTTGCCAGGTTTTTTGTTGTTGTTGTCGTTGCTGCTTTGATGGAGGGGTGAATTTTCAGATATCGTCGCTTTCCCACTTTCACTGATAAAATGGCTTTATATCCCTAATATATAAAATGGCTTTAAATCCCTAAAGTCTCAATGACCATTCATTAATTAAGTACTTAATCATGGGAGATGATTAGAGAAAGGAATAAAAATAGAAAATGTAATTCTCAGAGAAGCTCTCCCAGATGGAGAGATGAAGTTCAACAAAGTATTTCTGTATTTAGTGCTCTCAAAGTTAAGTTTAAGATAACAGCTGTATTAAACCCCCTTTTCTTCATATGAGTTACACACAGGCTTTGGAGTCAAAACTGAGTTCAAATTCCAGCCCTGCTTCTGACTGGCTTGACAATCTAGGACAAAGTACATAACCTTTCTGTACCTCAGTTTCCTCGTTTGTAAAATGGGGTAATGATAATATCAATCACATAAGGTTATTGTGAAGATTAAATGCAAAATGTTGATCACAGATGCCTTACAGCCCAACAGCATTGGTTGTGATGCTTGTCTTTCTAGTATCTGGCAAAAGTACAGTAATAATTCTTGAGTAGAGTCAACCTCAAAGCAGATTTTCTTTTCTTTCTTCCTATTTCTTTTACTTTTTTGTTTTAAAGAATTGAGAAGAAAATCTACATTTTAGAATAAAAACTTGTGTCAAAGAATGACGAAATGTTATTTATTTATTTATTCAACAAACATTCATTAAGTAACTAGTAAATAACAAGCGCTATGTCAGGCACAGGGACAACAATGACAATCAAGTATGGTCCCTGCCCTCAAGGAGCTGACAGTCCAGGAGACTGACCAGGAAACAGGTGACTACATGCTATGACAAAGGCTGTGATACAAGGATACATGAAGTGTGTGGTGGGAGTGTAGCTTTCACCAGTTCCTCCTACATTTAAACCCTCTTGTTTCACTACAAAACCGAGGAATTGGTCTTTAACTGGGTGGCTTAAGCTGTGGAATTTTTTAAATTTCTAGAGACCTTGAATCATGGAGGGCACTAGAAATAGTATACTTCCTACAGAGCCACGGCTTTCTACTAGTGTAGTCATTTCTGGGGTTTTCAACTTAGGAAAAGTTCTTTGACATAGTTTTCCTTTGCCATCCACCTAAAAAAAGATGTTTTTCCTGTTTCTCTTCCCCATGTTATCATCCAGAGACCTGGGTAGTTTCCAAAGGAAGAATGTGTTACAGATTTATAGGCAAAGGCAGAAAATGATTACTTTTAACCTTCAAGTTCCATGCCAAAAAAATGAACATAAAATTTCATGGTAGTTATTGAAAATGCAGATAATTCTAATTCCATTGCATTTTTCAGAATTCTCAATCGTAATCCTCTGACAACTGTTGAAGATTCATATCTTTTTAAATTGCCAGCATTAAAATATTTGTAAGTATTACCACAATCTCATGGCTCATGAGATGATTTCTGCTCTTTTTAAAAGATTCAGTATTTTGCATTTTGATTAAAAGTCATAATTTAAATTTTAACTGGGTTCTCAAAATAAGAATTATTGGCAAAGAAAGAATGTATATGGGCTAGACAGCCTGCAGAGCAGCATTGAAGAACTCATACAGAGATGGAACATGCAGATGTAGGCAGAAATATCATTTATCACATATGTAAAAATATCATTTGTCTCAAAAAGAAAAGTGGAATAAGATGTACATTATTTTTAAAAACAAGAGAAGTGGATGCAATTGAGAATGAGAAGTAGGATTAATAGCAAAAAGAGATTGTACTGTTGATCACCAAAGTGATTAATTTGATTATGCACATAAATTTAAATTTCTTCTATAAGAGTTCTCTGAAATTATTGTCCACAGCAAGTTGAGTCTTGAGCTGACTTGACAGAATTGAAGTAATCACATGTTAAGTATCTTTTTAGGTACAGAATTTTTGTCTTTGGCATCATGCATGTTTGGGCTCTCTCTTTCAGAGACATGGGAACGACACAGGTGACCCTTTCAACAATTGAGAGCATCCTCATGATGACCCTTGAATTGGAAAAACTGTAAGCTGATTTTTCTTATGTTTATTTTCACTTGGATCTTTAATTAGGTTTGTTTTCTTCTTAAGTCGGATTTATTGAGGTGTAATTGTCATTTAATAAAATTTACTCTTTAAGTATATAGTTTGATGACTTTTGGCAAACATAGTTATGTAACCACCACCACATCCGAGATACAGAACATTTCTGTTTGCAGTCAATCCCCTTTTCCCACCTCCAGCCCCTGGAAAACCACCAGCCTCATTTTCGTCCCTCTAGCTTTGCCTTTTCCACCAGGTCTTATAAACGAAATCAGACAGTGTGCGGTCTTTTGTGATTGGCTCCTCTCACTCAGCGTCGTCCTCTTGAGATCCTTCCACGTGGCTGCGGCTCTCTGCAGTTCATTGCTTTTCATTGCCGAGTAGTGTTCCGGTTGTGTGGCCACACCGGTTTATCATTCATCAACCAATGGACGTTTGAGTTCTTAGTTTTGGGGCTGTTATGAATAAAGCTGCTAAAAGCAGTCACACGCAGGTTTTTGTGTGAGCGTACGGCTTTCATTCTGGGGGAGGTAAATTTTAAATTGGTTATCTGGTGAAATACCTAATGGTAGGATTGCTACAACATATACTAAGTGTGTATTTAACGGTTTAAGAAACTGCTTACCTGGGGGCACCTGGGAGGTTGGTTAAGTGTCCAACTCTTGATTTTGGCTCAGGTCAAGATCTCAGGGTCGTGAGATCAAGCCTCCAGTTGGGGCTCACACTGTGTGTGGAGGCTGCTTCAGATCCTCTCTCCCTGTTCCTCTCCCTGCCCCTCCCCACCCCCATATGCCCACGCGTGCAGTCTCAACAACAAACTACTTACCTGTTTTCTAAGGTGGATGCATCAGGGGCACCCGGGTGGCTCAGTGGGTTAAAGCCTCTGCCTTCATGATCCCAGGGTCCTGGGATCGAGCCCTACATCAGGCTCTTTGCTCAGTGGAGAGGCTGCTTCCTCCTCTCTCTCTCTCTGCCTGCCTCTCTGCTTACTTGTGATCTCTGTCTGTCAAATAAATAAATAAAGTCTTTAAAAAAAATAAAGTGGATGCATCAGTTTGCATTCCAACCAGCAGCATATGAGATCTTCACCTTATATTTCAGTTAAAAATTTTTTAGACTTTCTTGTAGGTATGTATGTAGCTGTATCTCATTGTGGCTTTAACTGCATTTCTCTTAACAGCTCATGATGTTGACTGTCTATTCATGTACAGACAGCTTTTTAAATGATGTGTCTGTTCAAAACCGTTTTTCTTCTCCTTTCCTTTTTTTTAAAAGATTGATTTATTTATCTTAGAGAGAGTAAGTGAGTGTGGTAGGGGAGAGGCAGACAGAGATGGAGAGAGAGAATCTCAAGCAGACCCCGACGGAGCATGAAGCCTGACTCAGGGCTCAACCCCACAAGCCCGAGGCCATAACCTGAGCCAAAATCAAGAGTCAGACACTCAACCAACTGAGCCATCCTGGCATGCCCAAATCCAATTTTTAATTCTGGAAAAAGTCTTTTCTTTCTCTCAGATAGATGTTTAGCAAATTTCTCCCAGGTGGTAGCTTGTCTCCATTCTGTTTTATCTCTGAAGACCAGAAGTTTTTAATTTTTAAATTTTGATGAACTCATCTATTTTACCTATCTTCCCACCCCCTGTCCTCTCTGGTAACCATCAGTTTGTTCCCTATAATCAAGAGTCTGTTCCTTGATTTGTCTCTCTCTTTCTCTCTCTTATTTCCCCTTTGCTCATTTTTTGTTGTTGTTTCTTAAATTTCACATAAGAGTGAGACCATATGGTATTTGACTTTCTCTGACTGACTGACTTCACTTACATTACACTCTCTCGCTCCATCCATGTTGTTGCAGATGGCAAGATTTCATTCTTTTTATGGCTGAATAATATTCTGTGTATATGTATGTATGTGTGTGTGTGTGTGTGTGTGTGTGTGTGTGTATAACTCCTAGGATATTCTGGGATATATATATCCTAGGATCCTAGTACATTTTATACATATATGTGTGTGTGTGTGTGTGTGTGTGTGTATCACATCTTTATCCATTCATCTGTCAATGGGTTACTTCCATAATTTGGCTATTGTAAATAATGCTGCAATAAGCATAGAGGTATGTGTATTGCTTTGAATTAGTGTTTTTGTATTCTTTGGTTAAATACCCAGAAGTGCAAATTACTGGATCATAGAGTAGATCTATTGATTTTTGTGAGGAACCTCTGTACTGTCCTCAGTGGCTGCATCAATTTGCATTCCCACCAACAGTGCACAAGGTTCCCATTTCTCCATATCCTCACTAAAATGTGTTGTTTGTGTTTTTATTTTATTTTGGTTTTTATTTGTTTTTATTTTATTTTATTTTATTTTGTTTTTATTTGAGCCATTTTGACAGAGGTCTCATTGTGGTTTTGATTTACATTTCCCTGATGACGAGTGATGTTGAACATCTCTTCATGTGTCTGTTGACCATCTGTAGGTCTTTTTCTTTTTTAAGATTTTATTTATTTATTTATTTGACAGAGAGAGAGATCACAAGTAGGCAGAGAGGCAGGCAGAGAGAGTGGGGGAAGCAGGCTCCCTGCTGAGCAGAGAGCCCGATGCGGGGCTTGATCCCAGGACCCTGAGATCATGACCTGAGCCAAAGGCAGAGGCTTAACCCGCTGAGCCACCTAGGTGCCCCTAATTCAGGCATTCTTAATTTGGGATTTGTGAATGGTTTTCATGAATGTCCTAGAATTATATTCAGTATTAAACATAATTGTATTTTTTTAAAAAACATTTTATTTATCTGTTTGACAGAGAAAGAGATCACAAGTAGGCAGAGAAGCAGGCAGAGAGAGGGGGAGAAGCAGGCTCCCCGCCAAGCAGAGAGCCCGATGTGGGGCTTGATCCCCAGGACCCTGAGATCATGACCTGAGCCAAAGGCAGAGGCTTAAACCACTGAGCCACCCAGGCACTCCAGGTCTTCTTTTTTAAAGATTTTATTTATTTGAGAGAGAGCACAAGCAGGGGGAGGGGCAGAGGGAGAGGGAGAAACAGACTCCCTGCTGAGCAGGGAGCCCCACATGGGGCTCAATCCCAGGACCCTGGGATCATGCTCTGAGCTGACAGTGGATGACTAACCAACTGAACCACCCAGGCACCCTTGTGTGTCTTCTTAGGAGAAATGTCTCTTCATGTCTTCTGCCCATTTTAAACTGGATTATTTGGGGGGTTTTTTGGTGTTGAATTGTATAAGTTCTTTATACATTTGGAAACTAAACCTTTATTGAATATGTCACTTGCAAATATCTTCTCAGATTCAGTAGGTTGTCTTTTAGTTTTTTGGTAGTTTTCTTTACTATGCAGAAGCTTTTTATTTTGGTGTAGTCCCAATAGGTACTTTTGCTTTTGTTTCCCTTGCCTCAGGAGACATATTTAGAAAAATGTTGCTAAGGCCAATGTCAGAGAAATTACTGCTTGTGTTCTCTTCTAGGATTTTTATGGTTTCAGGTCTCACATTTAGTTCCTTAATCCATTTTGAGTATATGGTGTAAGAAAGTGGTCCAGTTTCATTCTTTTGCACATAGCTGTCCGGTTTTCCCAACAACATTTATTGAAGAGACTGTCTTTCCCATCGCATATTCTTGCCTCCTTTGTCAAAGATTAATTGACCATATAATTTTGAGTTTGCTTCTGGGCTTCTATTCTGTTCCATTGATCTATGTGTCTATTTTTGTGCCAGTTTTGATTACGAGAGCTAGGTAATATAACTTGAAATGTGGAATTGTGATACCTTCAATTTGGTTTTTCTTTTTTGCTTTGGCTATTCTGGGGGTCTTTTGTGGTTCCACACAAATTTTATGATTGTTCTAGTTCTGTGAAAAATGCTGTTGGAATTTTGATAGGGATTAAATTAAATCTGTAGATTGCTTTGGGTAGTAACCATAGATCATCTTTCTGTTACTAAAAATTAGTTTGCATTTTCTAGAATGTTATCTAAATGGAATAATGTGGCAAATACTCTTTTCTAACTGGCTTCTTTCATTCACCATGATTATTTTGATTCATTCATGTTGTTATGTGTATCAATAATTCATTTTCATTGCTGAATAGTATTCCATTATATGGGTGTGCCACAATTTATCTGCTCACCATTGGTGGACATTTGAGTTGTTCCAATTTTTGGCTATTAAAAATAAAGCTTCTATGATTATGCATGTATAAGTCTTTGTATGGATACATACTTTCATTTCTCTTGGAGCAAATACCTGGAAGTAGAATGGCTGGTTCATATGGTAAGTGGGTGTTTAAGTTTTTAAAAAAATATTTTCCACAGTGGTTGTACCATTTTACATTCCTACCAACAGTGTATAAGGGCTCCATTTTCTTCACATTTTTGCTAATACTTGCTATAGTAAGTGTTTTTAATTTTAGACAGTTTAATAGGTATTTAGTGGCTTTTGTTTGTGTGTGGCTTTTATTTGCATTTCCTTTATGATTAATGATGTCAAATATCTTTTCATAAGCTTATTTGCCTTTCGGCTGTATTACTGAATTTTGAGAGTTCTTCATATGGTCTGGAAACAAGTCCTTTATCAAATAAATTTACTATGTAATTTACTATGTATTTTCTCCCATTTTGTGGATTATTTTTTGTTCTCTTAAGAGTGTGTTTTGCAAGGTAGAAATTCTTAATTTTTATGGGGTCCAGTTTATCCATTTTTTTTTCTTTTGTGGGCTATGCTCATGGTGTCATATCTAAGAAATCCTGCCCAACTGAAAGTCATAAAGCTTTTTCTCCTGTATTTTCTTTTAGACATTTTATAGTTTTAGATTTTACATTTCAATCTTTGAACCAATTTGAGTTCATTTCTGTATGAAATGAACTATGGTTACTACACAAAGCAATCTACAGATTTAATTTAATGGCTTGGATTGATGTTTGCTTTTTTGCCTATGGATATCCAATTGTTCCAGCACCATTTGTTGGAAAGACTATCCTTTCTCCATTCATCTGCCTTGGAACCTGAAAATAAATTGTCTGTATCTCTCCTTCTGGACTTCCATTCTGTGTCTTTGATCTGTTTGTCTAAATTTACACTAATATCACAAAGCCTTGAAAGTGTATCTTCATAAGTCTTGTAATCAGGTAACATTAGTCCTCCAACTTTGTTCTTCTTTTTCAAAGCTGTTTTGGCTATTCTAAGAGCTTTACATTTCTATATGAATTTTAAGAATTAGCTTGCCAAATCTACAGAAAGTTCTGCTGGGATTTTGATCTGTAGACAAATTTGGGGAGAAGTGATATCTTAACAATACTGAATCTTCTGATCCATGAACCCTTTATAGCTCTTCATTTATTTAGGTCTTCTTTAATTTTTCCCAGGAATATTTTATAGTTTTCAGTGTGCAAGCCTTTTACATCTTTCCCAATTTATTCTAAGTATTTTATACTTTTGATGTTAATATAAGTAATATTTCTTAAAATGTCAACTTCCAATTGTTGATTGCTAGGTATTAGAGATAAATTAATTTTTATATATTGATCTTTTATCCTGAAAACCTGATAAACTCACTTATTAGTTCTAGAAAACTATTTATAGATTCCATCAGGTTTTCCACATAGATAATCATTTTATCTGCAAATATAGTTTTGCTTCTTCCTTTCCATTTTGAATACATTTCTTTTTCTTGCTGTATTGCACTGACTGGAACCTTCAGTGCAATATCAAATAGAAGTAATGAGAGAAGACATCCTTGCCTTTGTCGTGATCTTGAAGAGAAAGCACTTGTCTTTTGCCATTCAATATGATTTAGGTTTTTTTGTAGAAGTCTTTTATCAAGATGAAGAAATTTCCTTCCATTCCTAGTTTGCCAAGCATATTTTTTAATTGGTAATCAGGAATGGGTATTAGATTTTTCAGATACTTTTTTCCACCTATTACAATGATTGTATGATTTTTTTTTTTTAGTTTATTCAGTTGGGTAAATTACACTGATTTCCAAATATTAAACCAATCTTGCAATCCTGAGATAAACCCCACTTTGTCATGATATAACATCTTTTCATATATTGTTGGATTTGATATAATAAAATTTTGTTTAGAGTTTTGTTATCTGTGTTCATGAGAGATAATTGGTCTGTTTTTTTTTTTCTTGTAATGTCTTTGTCTAGTTTTGATAAAGCAAAAGTTGGCCTTAAAAATGAGTTGAGAAGTAGCCCCTTCTCTTCAGTTCTCTGATAGAGTTTGTCTAGAATTGGCATTATTTCTTCCTTAAATGTTTGGTAGAATTCACCAGTGAAGCCACGTGGGTTTGAAGCGTTCTTTGTGAGAAGGTTGTAAACTACACACTCTGTTTCTTTAAGTTACCATTTTACTTTAAGTAACTTAAAGTTATCTTTAAGTTGCTATTTAAGTTACATATTTATTTTTGAGTAGTTCATGTCTTTTAAGAAATCTGTCCATTTCATCTTGAACTTATTGACATAAATTATTTTATAATATTCCTTTATTCTTTTAACATATGTAAAATTCATACTGATGTCACCTCTGTCATTTCTTTTTTTTTTTAAGATTTTACTTATTTATTTGACAGACGGAAATCACAAGTAGGCAGAGAGGCAGGCAGAGAGAGAGGAGGAAGCAGGCTCCCTGCTGAGCAGAGAGCCTGATGGGGGCTGCAACCCAAGCCGAAGGCAGAGGCTTTAACCCCCTGAGCCACCCAGGTGCCCCACCCCTGTCATTTCTGATATTGATAATTTGTGTCTTCTCTTATCTTTTCTAGGTCAATATGGCTAGAGGTTTATCAATTTTATTTACCTTCTCTAAAAACTGTCTTTCCATTTCACTGACCTCTCTATTTTCCTGTTTTCCATTTTCTGCATTTCTGCCTTGATTGTTATTATGCTATTCCTTCTCCTTACTCAGTGATTAATTTTCTTTTCTTTTTCTACTTTCTTAAAAGTGGATGCTAGGGAAGCTGAACACTGTGTTAGCAACATCCCATATGTTGATATGTTTTCAGTTTTAGTCAATACAAAATAGTTCTTAATTTCCCTTTTGATTTCTTTGATGCACAGGATTACTTAGAAAGTAATTAATTAATTAATTAATTAATTGGAAAAAAGTATCTGAAAAATCTAATACCCATTCCTGATTACCAATTACAAAAAAATAAGCTTGGCAAACTAGGAATGGAAGGAAACTTTTCCAACTTGATAAAAGACTTCTACAAATTGTTTAGTTTCCAAATATTTGGAGATTTTGAAAAATCTTTAAAAATCTGTTAATTTCTAATTTAATTCCATTGTGGTCACAGAACATATGTTGAATGACTGAAATCTTAAACTTACTGAGGCTTGTTTTATAGCCATGAATTCTGGTAATAGATGAGATAATGGTCTATTTTGGTAAATATTATGTGTCTACTTGGAAAAAAAAAAAACATGTATTCTGATTTTGGGTGGAGTGTTCTATAAATGTCAATTAGATCAAGTAGGTTGATAGTGTTGTTCAAGTCTGCTATATCTTTACTGATTTTTTAATATTTTTTTTCTGTCAATTGTTGAGAGAGGGATATTGAAATCTCCAACTATAATTGTGTATTTATTTGTTTCTCTTTGCCATTCTCCTTGATATATTTTGAAGTTCTGTTATCAGATGGATAAATTTTTAGGTTATTTCTTTTTTTATTAGTTGACATTTCTATCATGATGGAATAATCTCCTTTATCCTTGGTAATATTCTTTGCTGAAATTGACTTTGTCTTATAGTAATATAGCCACTCAAGTTTTCTATTGATTCATGTTAGCATAGTATAATTTTTTCCATACTTATAACCTATTTATATCTTTCTATTGAAGATGTTTCTTGTAGACAGCATGTAGTTGGTTTGTGCTTTTTTATCTAGTGTGACAACTTTTTTAATTAGGGTGATTATACCATTTATATTTAATGTAATTATTTTTATGATTACATTTAAAGCTACTGTCTAATATTTTCTCTGTGCCCCATCTGTTCTTTGTTTCTTTTTTTTTTTCTTTTTCTTTCTGCTTTTGGATTGACTGAGTACATTTTATTATTTTATTTCTTTGCTAATTAGTTACAACTCTGGTTTTGTTATTTTATTGATTGCTTATTGGTTTGTAGTGTTCATCTTTAACTTATCATAGTCTATCTTCAAATGATATTATATGAATTCATGATTGGTATAAGAATCTTCCAATATATATGATACTTCCATTTCTCCCCTCCTGGGCCTTTGTGCTACTGCTTTCATACATTTTACTTTCAGTTATAAACAGCACACCATATTATTTTTTTTGTTTAAACAATAAGTTAACTCTTTTATTGAAGTATAGTTAATATAATATTAGTTTCCGATGTACAACATAGTGATTCAACAATTATATATGTTATGAAATGCTCATAGCATTAAGTGTATTACAGCATTATTGACTATATTCCCTACATTGTACTTTTCATCTGGTGACTTATTTATTTTATAATGGGAAGTTTTTACCTCTTAATCCTTTTCACCCATTTTGACTATATCCCCACCCTCTCTGCCTTAGCAACCATGTTTGTCCTCCATATTTATGAGTGTGTTTCTCTCTTTTTTATTGTCATTGTTTGTTCATTTGTTTTTTTTAAGATTCTACATATAAATGAAATCATATTATATTTGAATATTTACATAGTAAGAAATATCTTACATATTTACCTATGTAGTTACCAGTTCTAATGTTCTTCATTCTTTTGTGTGGATCCACCTTTCCATCTGGTATCATTTTCCTTCCACTTAAAAATATTTCCTTTAGCATTTCTACAGTGTAAGTCTACTAGTGATGAATTCTTTCAGCTTTTGTATGTCTCAGATGGTCTTTTTTTTTTTTTGCTTTTGTTTTTGAAAGATCTGGATATAGAATATTAGCTTGATAGTCAATGGGTCCCCTCTCCTCTTCACTGCTTTAAAGATGTTGCTCTACTGAGTTCCATTATTTCCAACAGGAGATATGTTGTCATTACTATCTTTGTTTCTCTATATGTTGTATGTGGTTTTTTTCCTTTGGCTGCTTTAAAGATTTTCTCTTTATTGATGGTTTTGAGCAGTTTGATTATGATGTGTCTTCGTGTAATTTTGTCTGTGTTTCTTGCGCTTAGAGTTTACTGACCTTTTTGGATTTGTGGTTTATTGGGTTTACCTGTTTGGAAAATTTTAGGGTATTATTTTTTCAAAATTTCTTATATTTCCTCTCCTTCAGGGTAAGTACACATATATTAGGCCACTTGAAGGGGTTACATGACTCACTGAGTTAAGTAGAGGCATGGGTTTTTTAGTTTGGGTTTTTTTAACATGTGAAATACAGTTATAACTTTTTAAAAAGATTTATTTATTTATTTGAGAGAGAGAAAGCAAGAGTGAGTGGGACAGAGGGAGAGAGAGCAAACTCCATGCTGAGCTAGGAGCTCAATGCGGGGCTCAATCTCATGACCTTGAGATCATGACCTGAGCTGAAACCAAGAGTGAGACACTTAGCCAACAACACCACCCAGGCACCCCAGTTACAACTTTTTATATGTCTTTGTCTGCTAATTGTAACATCTGTGTAGATTATTGGTTTGTTTTGATTGATTTATATCCCCAATACAGAACATATTTCAGACCTTTCAGACTCTTCTTAGAAGTCTACCCTCTTCCTGTGTGCTATCAACCCAAAGTGAGACTTTTGGGTTGGAAGGAGATACTTCTGAACTAAACTACTGATCAGTGTCACACAGTTCTCATCTCTATCTTACTCTAGGCATACCATACCCCCTACTGTCCTTACCTTTCTGTTGGGCACCTCTGTCCTGTCTATTTATTTATAATATTCTAGAGCAGCAGTAGGCCAACTGGTCCCTGCCCAATCATCCAGGCCATATGCCTCAAGAATTCCTTTTTGCACAGCCCTGTGCTGCCTGCCTCTTCTACCTACTCAAGTAACTCCTTTACCACTAATTTAATTACCTATGTTTCCATTTATAGGATTTTACCTAGTCGTATGGCCTGCTGTCTCTGTCAATTCAAAAATAATATTGAGGTTGTCTGCAAGACAGTCAAGCTGCATTGTGACAGTGAATGTATGACAAATGCCACACATTGTGGTGAGTCTAAATGCCTTATGATAAACTTATAAATTTATATTTAACTTTTTATTTTTAATCAACAATGATACAATTTTTAAGTAATGATGTCACTGCATTATTTTTATTCATTCAGAGTCAAATCCCTAAATCTCTCTTTAAAAAAAAAAAGAGTTATTTATTTGAGAGAGAGAGCATTCAAGTCGAGGAAGGGGCAGAGGGAGAAAATCTCAAGCAGACTCCCCGCTGAGTGCAGAGCCCAGTGTGGGGCTCAATCCCATAACCCCGAGATCATGACTTGAGCCAAAACCACGAGTCATACACTTGAGACACCCAAGTACCCTCAAATCCCTAAATTCCTAAGAACTACTCCTTTATTAAAAGTTAGATTCTCAATTACCTTATTAAATAATTACCCTCAAATGCAAAATTGTTCATATAGTGCATTACAGTTTGTAAACTGATATTATATGCATTACATCTCAGGTGCCCTTTGTCTTATAGGACAGAAAAAGATATATATTTTTTTATTTCGTTTATTTTTACAAGCTATATTATAAGAGTAAAAGTGATGCTGATTTATAAAAAAGTTGTATTCAGAGCCTGAGAGTTTCTGTTCCCTAACCAGAAGCTGCTACCTTCTAATGGAAGGAGAGGGCTCTTCTATTCTTGAACTGCCCAACTCTGAACTTGTTCTGAATCCTAAGCTTTTTTGTCCAAAAACACTCAGGTGTTAAGTATTTTTCTGTATACTATGTTTTATTGGCACTAACTTGATGACTTCCAAAATGTGCTTTTGCACCTGGATAGCTGGAATATGAGTCCCTATCAATGATCTATGGTACATCAGAAATAACACTGCTATTTCTGTAAATACAGTGTTGCTTATTTTTCAAAACAATTTTTTACCAATTCTATTACTCCCTTCTCCCTTAGAGTTGGGGAGAAGAGGCATGTTTAATCTCCTTTTACAGGTGAAGAAAACTGTGACCAGAGGTGTTAAGTGCTGTAGCCTAGCACTCAAGTGTCTTCTTGTTTTGGGCTCTCAGCAAGCCTATTGCTTCTTCTTTCTTGTGACCCTTATTACCTCCTCCTCTGACCCTCACCACCACCACTAAAAATACTTCTATTTCTTCTGGAAAAGAAACCCAGCTGCACAATGCTCTGCAGTATACACAGCGGCACACTTGACCTTCAGGTAGTTGGAAGCTCTGGATGATTCCCTAAGTAAACCTAGAAATATTAGAAATGAAAGTGAAATAAGCATCTGACTAACGTTTCTTTATCCCTTCTGCATTTTAAGACCTCAAGTATCATTCCCTTAATTTATTGAACATTCCACATTGGCATATCTCTCACACCTGGGAAATTTAACCTACATCCCAGATCCCTGCCCACGTTTAAACAAAGAGTCAGAGTAGGCATAGTGGGTTTTTTTCTGATTAGAGCTTATGTTATATGAACTGCAATATATGGGAGCGGGGACCAAGCAATGAATTGGTGGGTAGCTAGAGAAGGCATATCCAGGTGAGGACCTATAACAGGGGGTGCAGTCACGGGCATCTGTGATGGTAGTAAGAACACAAGCACACTGAAGAAAGGAAGGAGGACACCTCATGCTCCCTTTGCATCTGAAGCAGGACAGGATGGGGTATATAAATGCCAGGAGTCACTGTAGATCTGCGCACAGTTTAGCTGAGTGTCTTCCAGCCTTGACTTTTTTTGAGTCCCGATGGGCAATCAGGCCCTGGGGACCCCTGGAATTATCCCAAATATAGTTATTCACACTATGGAAGTTTCTGAGTAAATGTTTTTCAAAAAACATCCTTTTCTCCTTTTATTGTTGCCAGTCATAGATTCAAGTTTGAGTTTGTCTCCTCTCTAAATGGTACTCAAATATTTGCCGACTCTTAATTTTATTTGACTGGGATATAGGACTGTCAACTGACAAAAAGCTGTACTAGCAGTCTTTCATTATCAAAACTAGTCTCTTCTTTGTTGATAGATGAAGAAGTATCTATAAGGAATACAGAAGGCTCATTCATGAAGGTATTGAAAGCCCGGAAGAAGAGCACCAGTACTGAGCTGACTATTGAGCCAGAGAAGGCATCCTCAGACAAAAATAGTGTCAGTCTAGCCTTTATCAATGAGCAGCTAGACTTTAATGATGAAAGTGATGTTATTAGTGCGCTGAATTACATATTGCCTTATTTCTCAGAGGGAAATCTAGAAGATGTAGAATCAACATTATTACCATTCATTAAACTTCTGTTTTCAAATGCACAAGATGGAGACAAGCCCACGGGTCCCTTGACACACGACACAGGAAGCCTATCTCTTAAACCTGGACCCAACAATTCAACTTACAAAAATAAACTGAAGAAACTCTATTTTCTGGAAAATTTGTTAGATGCAGAAATTCAAGAAAAAATTGATGAGGTGAAAAAGAAAGAAAAAACTGCCATGCTTATACATTCCGGTCTTTTTGGTCCCAAATTTAAACGCCAGATCTTTCCAAAGAAATTGGAAACTGCCCAAGCACAGGAAGAGAGCCTCGCCAAGGCTGAGCATGTAGGGAAAAAGATGCTGAGAGTGAAAAAGGTCATCAAGGGCCCCAAGGGCCTACGGAAAAGGTACTTCAAAGAAATGAGCCGTCAGAGCAACCAGAGGAAACAGAATGCCCAGCCATTTGTGGAGAACATGGCCAAAGAAAGAAGGCTCGGGAGACCATCTCCAAGGGAGCTGGAGCAGCTTCACATGGCGCAGAGGCCCAAGAAATTAGTGGGAGACTCCTTCAATACAGAGCCTTCATTCATAAAGGAGCACAAGGCAGCAGTCTCTTCCTTCCTGAAACAATACTCGTTGGGCAGGCCTTCTGCCTCCACTGCTCCGAAATCCCTACCTGAGGTGAAAAACAAATCAAAAGACTTAACCTACACCATTTTTGTTTTAGAGGATGCAAATGCTAGAGTTAGGAATATGAAGGCTCCCAGACCAGTCTCACATTCCGGAAAGAAGTACATCTTTCATAAAACTCGCTCACGTGTGGTCCACAGAGAACCTAAGGCCAAACGCAATCGAAAATTCAAAAAGAAAAGTCCTCTCAGAAATAGACTGATGCTGGCAAAGAGGCCTCCATTCTCTGCAGTCAGGAGCCTCATAAATTCCCCCTCACGGGAGGCTTTTTCATCTTCAGGAGAAATGAGTTCTCAGGAAAATCCTTTTCCGGAATTATTTACTCTTTCAGAACCAATTAGGGAAAACACTACTGTGGAAAACACTACTGCGCAGAATGTTTTTGAAGAATCTATTTCTGCAGAAAATATGACTGTGCCAGAACAAACCCTCCCTGAATTCGGGAACCATGAGAATCTTCCCAGGGCACATTCTGCAGCAACCGGAGACAACTTTATGCCAACTGTTAAACAAATCAATGAAACACAATGGGAATACCACAACGTGGGCACCGAATTGCCCCCGAAGCCCACAGAGTTCACTGTGTCGAAGCACTCAGCCACAGGGGATCTATTTGAAATTCAGCTAAACCAGCAGCTACGGTCCCTTATCCCCAATAATGATGTGAGAAGGCTCATTTCTCATGTTATCCGGACTTTGAAAATGGACTGCTCTGAGACCCACGTGCAACTAGCCTGTGCCAAGCTCATCTCCAGAACAGGCCTCCTGATGAAGCTTCTCAGTGAGCAGCAAGAAGTAAAGGTGTCCAAAGCAGAGTGGGATACGGACCAATGGAAGACTGAGAACTATATCAACGAGAGCACAGAAGTCCAGAGTGAACAGAAAGGGCAGGAGTCAAGTGAGGTGAGGAAAACTCCTGAAACATGGGATCTGGACTTTGAGTCAGTTTAGGAAATGCCATGAACTCACCCAAGCCCAAAGACCAGGGGTGGCCTAGTCTGGGTCTTGTCTTGGCCAGGTAACGTTGGCTGAGACACATGACCTGCCACTTTGCTCATTTAGTGCCACTATCCCCCGGGTATATGAGAAGGGGACCTAATGTGCAAGATAAATAAATTTTTGAAGAAAATGCTGATAAGATTACATAACACCTTAGATTTGGTATGTTCCTTAAGACTCTGTAAACCACTCATCTGAAAGAATGGGGTTTTAGAGTAGCTGAAGAATAGTTAGCTTTTATCCTGTCTTTTTGTTTTCTAAAAAAAAAACCTGTCTTTTTTTTTTTTTTTTTTTTTAGCTCACAAAAGAAGTTCCAGGTTATGGCTATAACAACAAACTCATCTTGGCAATATCTGTGACTGTAGTAGTGATGATTTTGATTATAGTTTTCTGTCTCATTGAGGTAAGGACAACCATTAATTCAGATTTCCAGAATATCTTCTATCTTTATAATAGATTCAGAACCCACAAATTGAAAATCAAAGCCACTTTTCCACCTACTACTACTTGATATTCCTCTTCAGTCTGGAGGACTGAAATCTGCTTTGTTCCTTTACTGCCTAGTATATTCCAGGGAATTTTAAAAGAACCCCCCACTGCCAGGAGATCTGTGGATTGTAACCAAGGCAACAAGCCATTAGACTGTCTGAGACATTAAGTTTAAGAAGGCCAGAGTTGACACGATAGTAACATTTCTTCAACTCAAAATTATGTCGATTAGATGTACTCACCCATGAGTCTCAGACTGCCACTGATTTCTTTCCTTGGCTGAAATGATGACAGAGAAAGTCTCTCCGCCCTCCTGGAACCATCAGCCATCCTGGAAGAAAGGACACGACTTACAGATAAAAGTGTCATCTTGTTGATTCATTAGACTGACTTAGCAGCTTTCTCCTCCACTGTATAAGGTGTTGTGTGAATAGGTTCAAACACTGCAGCCCAAATCCTGCAGCAGGCTACCTCGAAGCACGTCAGATTTATAGTCTGCTGCGGGAGCTTGCCTGTTTACCTTTTCTTCAATCTTTTAATGACTTCTTCCTTTTCCCAACAGGCAGGTGCTAACATTTTTAAAAGAATGATTTAACAAGTTGACAGTCTTGACTTATCCCACCAATCCAAACTCATTTACCTTGTGTACCTTTTCTACTGTCCTAGCAGGCCTCCGTTCCAGCCAAAGCCACCCCTCACTGCACCCTAGTCACCCCATGCCCATTCCTGCTTTTGTCGGTGCCTTTGCCCATCTGAAATTCCCTCTTAATTCGCTCTGCCTGTGGAAGTACCATGAGTCTCAAAAGCCAACGCAAGTTCATCATTCTCCAAAAAGCCTTCCCTGAATTCTCCAGCCCTCCTGGTCCTAGTCCTTCTGTGAGATTTGTCACCATTTCTTAGGGTCCATATTGATGCATTCCCCTCCCTTGAAAACAATAATAAGGTAAATAACTTTTTAAAAGGCAGCTCCCCGAGAGAGAAACACCAAACATCAACACATGGAGCAGAGCAGAGCTATGTAAGCATCAAGTGGCTTCCTGGTTTATCGGACTTAAGTAAAAATGGACTGGATATATGAACTGCTAAAGAGAAACATGTCTGTCTGCAGGAAGGTTGGTCAGTAGAAAACCATAGAAATGGCGAGGAAGAGCCCACCATGGGCCGTGCCCATCCTAGGCTTCCCCAAGAGTGGAGATGGCCCCTCAAGCAGCATATGAGCGTTAAGCCCACTAGTGAGGCTGTGCCTGTTGGGGAGATGGATGGATCTGGCTACTTCAGTCCTTTCTGTCAAACACTGGATTCAGCTGGTTACTTTCCTTCTAATTCTCTTCTCACCAAGTAGCCTTCTAATTGTGTTTCAGTGCGCCATGGAGGCCAGTGTCCCCGGGAGCTAGTTCCCAACCGTGTAGACACAGATGCCCTATCTGCGGAGCAGATATATTTCCCATTGTCAAGTGATAATCTGGCATTCTGATTTTGATCCATCCTGGGGCACTGATAAAGTGAGATTGCCTCTACAGGAAGAAGTGAGTTTGCTTTTGTTAAGGACAGAGTCTGACTGCTGAGCCCAGGAGTCTAGGAACTGGCATGGGGTCAGCTTACCAAGGTCTCTGGGAAGATATATCACTGGCCATTGTCCAGATAGTACTCTCTGTATCTTCAGGTGGCCTGTGGCTGAAAGCCAAAGCTTTCAGGGAAGTTCTGTAAATTCCTATTGCTGTTTTTAATTTCTGCGTAGTTTAGCCTTTTGTTTGTATTTATGTGGTTGCATTATTTCCTCTCCTTATTTTGATGATGAGCTTTTGGAGGATGGAGACCATGCAGTGCTTTTCCTGTAGTAGACAATAATGGCGTTCAAAGGAAGAGAGATGAGGCATTATGTCGACTTCACAATGAGCAATAAGGCAGCCTAATATTTATTTGAAGTAGCATACAGAATCCAGCAATTGACAGACCCATGTGTTCCTAGGACTTTTGAAATGTTACCTTTTAGTATTCAAATCAGGGGAAGAAAAGAAGTAAATGGTAATAGAACAACTGCTTGATTATTTAGGAGGAAAATAATAGCAGAGCCTCATTTCTCACTTTAAACATATTTCAGTAAATGTAAAAAAAAAAAGAAAAGAACCCATAAAACTGTTAGAGGAAAACAGAAGCAATATTTTTATCATCTTGTGATGGGAAAGAGCTTTATGATCTGACACCACGGGCAGAAACCTTTGATAGATTTAATCCTCTTGTCTGTGACACCATTAGCAAACTTGGCACTGATCTATGCCAAGCATAGGAAGAATCTCCCACACCCGATTTAATCCCCACAACCCTGTGAGGATGATATTACCATCCTTCTTTGATACCTAACAGGGAATCAGCTTAAGGCCTCAGTGGCAAAACCCAAGGCAGAACCCTGTTTCGCCTGACTGCAAAGCCTGTGCTCCGGTTCCACTGTTTTGTCTCCTTAAAGATGAAAACACTGACAAATATTTAAAACATTGAAATTCAGTGAAAGCCACTAAAAGGGTTAATATATTTTTATAAATCAACAGGAAGACCAACAATCCAGGGGTGAAGGGGGCGAGGACTATGAAGAATGATGGGCAAGGACCGAATCTGTCAGTCCTCTCCTCATGCCTTCTGGCATGTGGGTCTTGTTCACGAGGCCTTTGTTGCCTCTCTACTGTTTTCTTCTATACTCTTATAACATTTGTTTTTATTTATATTTTTTAATATGTGTAGAATCTGTTTTGGTTTTGGGGATGGTTGAGGTAAGGGATCTAACTTTTTTTCACCCCCTGCATAAAGATCCAGTTACTTTAAAATCTTTCATTGAACGATTCATTCTTTCTTCACTGATCTAAAATACTATTTTTTATCTAGACTCAATCCAGTTTCTTTCCCTGTACCAGTATCACACTACGTACTTAATTCCAGTTGCTTTATAATAACATATTTTGATGTCTGGTAGGGTAAGCTCCTGCTCTTTGATCTTCTTTTTCTCATTTTGTAGCTAGGCTTGCATATTTTCTCCACCAAATGTCATCCGACCAGTTTTTGTTTAAAAAAAAAAAAAACTATCTTGGGATTTGAATAAGATTGCTTTGAATTTATAGGTTAATTTGAGGAGACCTGACATCTTTGCAATATTCTAGGAAGATGGTATCTCCCATCAGGTATTCATTTCTTCTTAATGTCCTTCAGAAGAGTTTTAATATTTTCATCTCATAGGTCTTACCCATTTTTTGCTATAAGTTTACTCCTAGGTACCTTATGCCTTTTATTGATATTGGAAATGGGATCATTCCTCCATTCATTGATTAGCTATTTATGGAATGTAGGATCACTATTGTGGTTTGCATGTTGAACTCTCCATTTTGTATCTAGCCATCTTATTGACTTCTCATACTTAAGTAAAATTTTAGTCAATTCTCCTGGGCCTCTCAGGTTGTTCATAATTTCATAGGCAAATATGTTTTGTTTCTTCCTAATACTTCATTTTTCCTACTTTGATTACATTGATTAGGACCTCCTCAACAATGATGAATAGTAGCCAGAATAATAGGCATCCCACTCTTGTCCTTGACTTTAAAACAATGCTGCTGCTTAGGTTTCTGGTAGAGACTTTTCTTTTCCTTCTTCTAAGAATTTTTATTAGGAATTATCTGTTGAATGTCATCTAAAACCACCAATAAAATGTATTGCCAACTGCACACAAGATCCCAAGTTAGGTATTGTGGAAGAGCAGAGGACTATTAAACAAACCAAATTCCTTTTCTCAAAAAAGTTATCATCTCATTGGCTAGCTAAGACCTAAAATACAAAGGAATGAAAAAGATTTGGATGCAGTGGTCATCGAGATGGGTAACTGTGATCATGTTTTCTTCCAAAACAGATTTATTCTCATAGAACAGCATCAGAGGAAGGTAAAGAAGGAAACTCAAGGTAAATATTAGTCTGGCAATTGTTAAAGTAGAATTTTAGAACTAGATTTTAGAACTCCTCTCTATTTCAGTCCCCTTATTTTACTCCCAGGACACCACCAAAGGCAGAAAGAACATTTATCTGGCCTAATGCTTTTTCTGGATCCAGCAAAATTAGCTCCCCAGCCAAACCTGAGTTAGGAGGAGACTGGCACAGAGCATCTGCTGGTCACCAGTCTTTTAAATAAAAGAGGGTGGTATGGGGAGGTGATGGTTCCTGCTGGTAGTGAGCATCAGGCCTTCTCAGAGGCTCCGGAAAAAGGGTAGGGAGGGCCACAAAATCTTGGGCAAAGAGGGCTAGTCTTCAAGGCTGATGGAAGGCAGAATATATGACTCCTTCCCCTAAAGTGGCAGGAAAACTTCCCTCTTCCTCCTCCTCCTGGTTTTCAAGTCCCCACTCACCATTCCCTTTGTACAGACCCCATAGAATTGTAACTGGGAGAGGCCTTAGATAATAGTTTGTCTCTTCCTTTTATAATAAGGAAATGGAGAAGAAGCAGGGGAAGGTAAATTGTCCCATGGTCATACTGCTAATGAGTGTCAGAAGATGGCTCCTTTCCAGCTGGGCACTCCCTCTCTGATTACACTGCCCTTGGGCTGTGAGCTACATTTTATGTCACTACTCAGTACGCACATACCGTAGAGATATGAGCAGTTTCTAAGACAAACTTACCATATACTCTCATTTTTTCTATACTGTTTGTATTCAAAAATAATATTTTGTGTTTTAGTGCTGGTTGTGACCTTTAAGCTCATTTCACGACTCATTCATCAGTGACAGCCTACAGTGTGAAAGGCAGTGAGCTAGATAACTTTGCTGGTTGGACTCAGGCATTTTCTTGGTGCAATTCAACTTGCAGGATAAAGCAACTAGGAAAATAGAAGCACCTCTCCTTCCCCCTCCCCAGCAAATGATGCCTATGAGATTGAGTGCATCGGGGACCACTGTAAAATGCTTCTGGAGAGAGTAAGGTGCTTATTCCATGCAGTTGCCCAGTTTGTTCACTGCATGAGGGCACTTGGCCAAGGTCCCAGGTGAGCGGGATGAAAATCCTGCCTGCATTCCATGTCGAGCCACATGCAAAGATCTCCCCAGAGACATTGTGGGGCTGTTATGGATAGATGTGGGAAAATTCTGGAAGCCCAACATGCTTGGGATTATTTTCAAGATCCCAGATCTGTGGTGATTTTGCTTCCTGTGATTCTGGACGGAGGTGTCCTAATAAGACCAGAGGTACACGTTGTGAGAGTTACGGAAAACGGCATGAGTCACTAATTGTGTGTGTATTTCCTCCAAGGGGCTTCTTTCGGTCTCTGCTGCGGAAGAGATGCTCATCCGAAAATGAGAATCAGGTAAATCTGAGCAGGATAAAGCCCCATGGCTGCAGAGAGCACGGGAAACGCAGAATTAACATCATCCTTTCTGTTTTCTAGGAGGGCTTTTTCTGGAGAAGGCGGCCACTTTGGCTTCGGGACATGTACAGACCTCTCAATGCCACACGCAAGAAAAACATGGCACAGAAGTTACACGACAAGGATTCTTCTGATGAGGATGAGATTTTCAACAAGGAACCAGGGTACCTGATTTACGACTCTTATCTCAAATGAGGAAACTATGAAAAGTTGAACTTTTCCTTTGCAGAGTAAAAGCCTTTGGCATTCTTCTCCTTTCGGCAGAGAGAAAAGTGAAGCCCCAGCAGAGAAGGCTCAGGCCACAGATTCGACTGCTGAAGAGCTGGGTGAGGAGAGTGAGACCGCCGCAGAGACCGTCACGGAGTGAGCCCATCCTGCCTCAGGCCGCCTACAGAGTTTATTTTCTGATATTGGCTTCTCAGCGTTGCTTGTAAAATACTTATTTTTCTCATATTAAAAGGTATAAGTTCATAACCAATTCTAGCCACGTGGTAAGGAATTAAAATGGAACCAGTTAAACATGTATTATTGAGAGAACAGGGGCCACGGGCACGAGGAGCAGGACTGAAGCTAGAATCCCTCGTGGGCGCCGGCGTCCTGCCTGAGGAGCGGCACGGGCAAAGGAGGATGAAGAGGGGTGTCTCTCCCTCATTTCCCTGATCAAATCAGTCTCTGGAAACCGGAAAACATATCTTCAGCGGGTGTAGACTGGGTAATTAAATCAATGAGCAGTTCATTCTGGTGCTCTCTTCCCTGGCTCACCAAGTCGCAGTAATTCACAACACACTTGACCTCTTGCCCAAAGAAGATCATCTATTTCTGGCGCCTCCCGTAAGGGCTTTGGCATTGCCAGAATATTTGAATCACCGAGCCTAGCTCCACGGCAGGCCTAAACCCTAACTTCCTTCCCAAGTGCGCAATCTCGTGCACAAAATGTGTGCCCTGTCTTGGCAAGTAGAGGGTTCTTCACCCTTCGAAGGGAGTAGATAATTCACATTGGGGGTTTTTTGGTTTGTTCTCTTAAAAAAAAAAAAAAATCCCAACCCTTGGGTAGCTGGCAGGGAGGGGCTGAGGGCTAGGGTAAAGAAGAATGTGTGAGAGCAGTAATTACCCAAGACTGCCCTCCTCAGTCCTTGATTTCAGAAAACATAGTGTTGGGGCCACTTACCCATTCGCATGTATGGCCCTCGCGTCTCCTGACCCCACTGAGGGTCAGATGTGCGCTGCTTGGCTCTCTCCAGCGCAGCCCAGCACCAGACCTACCACCATCTTCCTCACCAACACCGATCACAGCCGCATGATTCCAGGGGATAACGCGGTGCAATCTTTGGAAAAGGCAAGAATTCCTCCACTCCTGAGATGCCTGGGTGGTTCGATTGGTGAAACGGTCAACTCTCGGTTTCAGCTCAGGTCATGATCGATGTCCGTACACATAACTGGTGCTCATCACTGTGGTGGCTGGCGCTGGTGAACGTCGGGGACTGGGGGATCACATGGCTAGCTTTCAGGTGACTTTACCAGCTGGTTTCCAGAGATCCAAAGCTGCTGCTGTCCCTCAAAAGACTGCTGAGGTCACAGCAGCGCCCCAAAGTCCCCAGCCAGGTGACTAGCGGGGAGCATGGAGTCCCGCATGCAGCCTGCGCATCTGCCCCTGCAGACGAGGACAGAATGGCTTCCAGCTCCTTGTCACCTCCCAGATTTCACACAGGTACGCTGTACTGGCAGAACTCTGCTCTCAGGGGAATCTGTGAAACCTGGTTCGTGGGCTTCCAGCACTTTAAGGGAGGCTAGGGTTCTACTAGGGATGTGGCCACGAGCTGCTCAAAACTATGTTTGTGTTTGTGTTCAAGTCTTCACAGGCCAAGCCGAGCTGAATGAAGATGAGGGCTCGGAGGAGGCTGGCTAGCATCTAGAGAAAGAGAGAATCTGTCGCCCTCAAGACCCACATGCCCCACCCCTCCTGAGCCTGTCTCCGAGAGAGAGGGGCCACTCTCACAAGCCTTCTTATGCTCACCAAACTACTGAAGTAGGGCAAAGAGAGCCGGGAGCTGGCAGAAGCAGAGGTTCTCCAGCTTCGTCAGGACTGCAGGTCAGCAGGGATTTGAGGGCGGGAGGGCAGGGCAGGGCAGGGCAGACTGAAGATGACCAGAAGGCTCCACCAGGTTCTTACCGTTGGAGTCCCAGAAGGTCACACTGGCTGGTGGCCGCCCCCATGGAAGACAGGGCCTCTTGGTCCTGGGGCACACCAGGCACAACCAGCTCTGGTCCTAGTGGGGGTAAGATGTTGCTGAGACCTGGGAGATGGCGGTGGAGCACCCCTGGGGGTGGAGGTGGGGAGCACCCTCCTTCAAGAAGAGGAGAAGTCCTAGAGGCCTGAAGCGGAAGCGGAACCGTGCTTCAAGGTAAGGCTTTCTGCATTTCAGGCTAGCGCTGGAGAGGGGTCTGGCACCACACCATGGACGGTTCCAGCTTCCAGGGCCAAAGTAAATTGAGACTTCAACCTGCGAACAGCATAAAGACTTCACATGGATGTGGGCGACACCCCAGAATGGTGGAGCCACCAAACAGTAGGAGCCTGGCTCCCTGACACGTGACCCACCAAACCAGCCCAGACTGCTGTGCTTAACCAGATGATTACATGAGAGAGCAATAAGCTTCTTTTTATCTACCACATGACTGTGTTGGGTCTCTATTGCAGCTGAACCTATAGCCTAATGAAGGAGTAAATACGAGTACTGGGTATCCCTCGCCACAACAATGCTAACTGAGAAACCATCCCCAAACTCAGTGGACTGGAACACCAGTTCTTGCAGGATGGCCAGGACAGCTGTACTGGAATGTCCTGCCAGCTGGGCCAGCGCCACCTCTCACTGCTGGTCTACAGATCTGCAGGGCTAGCTCTTTGCCACCTGTGTTGATTCTGGGGCCCAGGCTAGAGAGACTACCGGAAGAAAGCATAATAAGAGGCCAAACAGAAACTTCATCAGGCCTCTTCAAGCCCAGTCACAGAACAATCACACTTTCATTTCTGCCCATCTCATGGGCCAAAGCAAGTCACATGGCCCAGCCTTGAGGCAGGGGACAGTAAAGCACACTCTGTCCACAGGGACACACAGCAAGAGTGTGGACGCAGGGAGGGCCAATAATCCTATCTATCCTGGGATGGGACCGAGTCCTGGTTTAGAGGTTATGTACCAAGGCCCTGTTCCTCTAGGTGTCCTCCATAAATGGAGCAGAGGGAAAGATAGTCCATCAATGTGAAGGCCCCACCGCAGTTCTCTATTAGGGCAGGAACCCTGACAAGGCAAGAATCACATCTCCTTCCTCTCCCCAATGCCTAGTACCAGACCCTGCCCGCAGTGATGACTCAGGGATCTTACTGGGTGAATTTTAGACCACTTCTTCATTCTCCACATATGATTTCCTTATGAAATAAACTGACCTCCTACAGGTCAACATATAGTGCTGTGAGTTTGCCCCAGAAGCTGCAAAGAGACTGCGCCACTGGGAGCTGGGATTTTTACATAAATCTGTCTACACTAAATCCCGTATCCACTGCCTCCCAAAGGAACCTCCAGAAGAAAGGGCTTCTACAAGTTAAACATCAAAACAGGGTAGTGAGGGGCACCTGGGTAGCTCAGCTGGTTGAGCAACCAGCTCTTGGTTTCTGCTCGGGTCATGATCTTGAGGTCCTGGGATCAGCCTGTGTGGAGCTCCACATTCAGTGGGGAGTCTGCTTCAGGATTCTTTCTCCCTCTGCCCCTCCTCCACCCAAATAAATAAATCTTTAAAAAAAAAAGGTAGTGAAATTTCTTTCTCTGGAGTCCTTTTGAAACTAGAAAGATTCTCATTGCCTGAAACATCCTAAGAGGGAGGCTGTCTAAAGGCATCTGCATGGACTTCAGACAATTTGAAGAACAGTGAGATTCGCCACCACAGCCCCCAGGGCTCCACAGGGCATCCGGCCCCTCTCATCTTCTCTTTTGCCAGCTCTAAGGGCAAAAGCAGAACCGGCTCCCTTAATTTCTGCCTTTCCCCACAGACTTCACATTCTAAAGGAGAACCATTTGAAGAGAGCCAGAATGAACCCCAGAGAATACCACCATCACCGCTGAATTCCAGGGATGGAGTATGTGGGTGGAAAATATATTTTAGGGCAGTGACTCATGATAAGTTGCTTCCTCCAGTCCCTAAATGGGACTATTCAATGTCAAGCTATCTCGGTCTGGGGCTGATAAAAGCAGACGGATAGGGAACCTAGTGGTGTTGTGAGCTGTTGGTCAGCATACATGAATATAAATATGGCTTGTGTAACTTGACCAAATTCACAAAGACCTATCACTTGCAGTTCTTTATGCTCCAAGAGAAAGAAATCTAACATACGCTTGAACCAAAAATGTCATACAATGGATCAGCTCATATACCTGGGAAGCCTAAGTGCTGGCTGCATCTAGGGCTCAAACAGCGTCATCCTCTCTCCATCTGTCCCTCAATTGTGCTTTCCTCTGGTTTCAGGCTTTGAGGGACACTGATGTAGAGGAAAACCCATCCTTAAAGCTTGGACACCGTATCTGGGAAGAGGAGACTCTGATTGGCCAGCCATGGTCACGTGCACATGTGAGGTCTGGCCTTAAACCAGTACTTAAGTCCAGTTAAAGCACAGAGACTGAATTAAAAGTTGAGAGGGAGGTTGTCTTACTGGGAGATAAGGAGGTGAGGTGATAATGGAGAATCAGAGGCTGAAGCTAGATTTAAGGAACACCCACAGATGTAAATGTCAGTAAAACACAAATTCACTTAGGAGCAGGAGTCCATGATAATTTTGGGTCCTTAAGTATTTTTTCCCAATTAGTAGATTGTAAAGGTATAACTACTATCATGAGCAGGTCCAAAGACTCTTCTGTTTTTTAATATTCGATAGGGATTCTTAACTGCAGATGTGCTCCAGCAGAGAGAGAGTAAAGAAAGCAAAGAAGAGAAGGGAACCAGGAAAAGGCCAACCCAGGAAGCAGCGAGGGAAGATTTCAGGGTGAAAGCTGTGGGACAGGTCGAGGAGCGAGCTGGAGCGCAGGGGAGGACAGAACCCAGACAGAGGGCGACACGAACAATATTTACATAGTCACAGTTCTGTTAACATTATCAGTTACCGGGAAAGAGTGACATAACCAAACCCCAAAAATGGACTGGGTTATTAAAGAACTACTTGTCTGTGGTACTAGGAAGCCTGCTGACAGTAACTGAAATGGGTAAATCAAGAGCTAGAAGCACAGGACAGGTGGAGAAAGCACCAGAAGATTCAGCCAGAAATAACCAGCCCCAGTGACCTGGCTCAGAAGGGTGGGCATGGGGGGGAGGCAAGAAACTTCCGTGGGTCATTATGTTCCCTCATCATTTCATTTCATACTATTTGAACTGTAAACTGTGTATAATGACATTTGGGGTTTTTAAAAAAATTCATTATTTTGTCAAAGCTTTATTTTTGTCCAGCTTTATTGACGTATAATTGACAAACCAGTAATTAAAAACACTTTAAATCCATTTTTTAAAAGGGTGGGGAGAACCAGCTTCCTACAACAGAACCCAGGAGAACATTAGCAATTCCAGTTTTGAGAGAAATGATTGCATTAGTACTAGATTGATGACTTCAGTCAGCTGCCAAGTAAGGATACATCTGGGGTTCAAACAAGAAGGGCTCTCAAAAAATAAGAAAAAAAGAAAGTCTCTCCAGTGCTCAGAGAGCAATTAAAAGCAGAGATCTGATTGGATTGGGAAGGTGAGAATTAGCTCAAACAATAATATAGCCAGTAATCTTTTCCTTTTCTTTTAAAAATTTTATTCATCCAGGGACTCCTGGGTGGCTCAGTCGGTTAAGTGTCTGCCCTTTGGCTCAGGTCATGATCTCCGGGTCCTAGGATTGAGCCCTGAATCTGCTCCCTGTTCAGCGGGGAGTCTGCTTCTCCCTCTCCCTTTCCCCCTCGCCCTGCTCATGCTCGCTCTCTCTCAAATAAATAAAATCTTTTAAATAAATGAGTAAATAAATAAATTTTTGTAAAAAGAAGGAAAAAAAGAATTTATTCATCCCTTTGAGAGAGGAGCAAGAGAGCATGAGCTGGGGGAGGGGCAGAGGAAGAAGGGCAAGCAGTCTCCCCACTGAGCAGGGAGCCAGCCCATTGTGGGCTGGACCCCAGGACCGACCTGAACTGAAGGCAGACGTTTAACCAACCCAGGTGCCCTACAGCTGGTCATCTTCAAATGCTTACTGCAGGCCAGAAACCATCCTAAGTATATTATCTTATTTAATCCTCACATCAATTGATATTTCCTCCAATTTACAGATGAGAGAACGCAGGCTCAGATAGTCTGGGGAAATTTACCTGAAGGCACACACCC